CACTCAAGTTTTATTTTCTCTATATATATTTGATACATATATATATATATTTATTTATTTATATTGATTTATGTACCTATTTTTATAAATATGTGTGCGTGTGTGTTTATACAAACTCTATAACTTGAAAAATCGATAAACGCATATATACAAATATGATACATTCAAATAAATTTATTATGACAATCGACAATGTATGTAAACTTTGGGTTAAGTTAGTAGATTAATAAATATTACTTAATAAATAAATTTTATTTTTAATACATTTATTTGGGACCCGCCAATTTTTTTTAAGCCCTGCAAAGGACCCGCCATGTTAAATTTGATGGCGTCGCCACTGCTCTCCATCTAAGTGTAGAATGTTGCAAAACTAAATTCAGATATGTGCTAAAGAGTTAAATGCAGTCTGTGCGGATTTAGAGATGTCGTTTATCCTTATTATGGCCCCTTTGCATTTCAGATATGCCCGACTGTCTTTAGTACCCTCATTTTCTGTACACCCCTTTCCCCACGCTGATCATTGTTACAGTATGGGGTTGACTATAAACTTGTGCCAAATGATTGCCAAGGGGCACACGACCACTGGTGTGAATTCCGTTAGTTTATGTATATATCTGGGCGCCATAAATGCGCCAGGCCCTTAAAAGTTGTGTCCCCCCCCCACCCCCGTTAAAAAGTATAATAGAAACATTGAATTTAAGTATGCTAAAAAATGCACAAATTGATTTTGAAATAATCAAAAAATTCTCCCCAGACCCCTCCACAAAACAAGATTCAGCGATGCCCTCAATTTCCGTCCCACTTCCCGATGACAATTGTTGCTACTTTTGGTGCCGTTACATGCAACTCAGCGCCCCCCTCCCCCTTTTCGCTTAACATAAAATTTCATTCATGTGGCAACCCTTAGGGCAGCGGCTTCCCCCCCCCCTCCCCTCAAATTACCAATTGACTAGATTTATATTGAAATATAGCTGTATAAGAAGGCGTGTAAACATATTTGTTGCCGCTTTCCACAGTTATCAGTATAATTTTTGCGTGCTCCATTCAATCTCCCAGGGGTGCGCTGAAAAGTGGTTGGGAACCACTGCCTTAGGGTATGCTTTTGGTCAACAGTAAGTTTTTAGTTAGAAATGATCCCAAACTGTCATTTTGAAGGGGGGAGGTAGAAGACAAATCGAGGGGGCGTCGCCCCCCCCCCAAGCAAAAAGCTGTGAGTGGTCTGGAGGAGGGGGTATAAACCCTTCCCAGAAAAATTTTGATAATTCAAAATCAAGGGGTATATTTTAGCGTATACCCGATTTCAGTATTTATTTCTTTAAAATTGATCCGGGGGTGGGGTGGCATATTAGGAGTTGGGGTGATGGGTGGGGCACAAATAAGATATTGTCGAACACAGTGCCATACATAATGTGGATTCGTTCCGGCTGTAGCACACATCCCGTTCTGCGAAAGCGGGAGCGTCTCCGAGGATAATTGGGGGCGTCCACATGGGGTTAGCCTCTTCGTAGAGGCTAATAGGGACTAATAGTGACGGACTAATAGGGTGGACAAGTCGACTTGTCCACCCGAAGCCAAAAAACCCCGGCCGACCGCATGACTCACAACGCAACGGGAGTAGTAACAATAGCATGATTACATATTGCCGTTGATGGATATGAGGCTTGGGTGGCAGTAGAAACCCATGCCGATGATTTTAGCTATGCAGCCGTGAGAAAGCTGCCCCAAGGCAAACGTTTCACCCCAGCCGAAATACTCCGTGGGCTGTAGGGTGTGATGGTTACGCCACACAATTTCTCCCGGAGTGGAAGCAACCCGCCCAAAACTTCTGGGAGAGTCGGCTGCGAACGCTTTGAACGCAGCGTTTTCGGTCTACCGGAGTCCCCCAGGCCAGTGGGAAGGTTCCCGGCGTGCCGCCGCACGGTCTGGTGGCGGCAAATCCGGCGTCTGGCCTGTGTGGAGGTTTGCCGGGGGGGGCATTAAGAGCTCGCGCTCGACGGCCCACCGACGCCAAGGTATTCTCTTGATACCATCTTAGGTCGCCCCTGTTTGTCACATTGAAAGCAGAAATATAGGGCACCTATGGGAGTTTTTACTAAATAGGGGTATTGTTTTTAAATTTGTATGTAAACTTTTTATTTCGTTAAACTGATGTTCGTCCTTCGCACACAAAGTTGGCGGCCACGGCAATTTATATATACATATATATATATATATATTTTTTTTTTTTTTTTTTTTTTTTTTTTTTTTTTTTTTTTTTTATATATTTTTTTTTTTTTTTTTTTTTTTTTTTTTTTTTTTTTATTTTTTTATTTTTTTTTTAAAAAAAAAATTTTTTTAATTATTTTTTTTAATTTTTTTTTTTTTTAAAAAGCTAGATGATATTATACTATTAAGAATCTGCTCTACTTTACTTAAAAAGTTGAAGGGAAAGAAACTGAAGACATTTTGCCAATATTTTATATTTAGCAAAAACTAAATCAAAATATTTTAATATACTTTAATACTTTATTGTTACGAGAAAATGCCACTGTTACGCACTGACTTGTATTGGGAGAAATTAATCTCCTATTTTAATTTTAATTGGCTCGTTGTAATCAGTGTCTAACAAAGGACGATACCACAGAATCAACAATATTAAAGATAGGACCCAAAACAGTTTCTAGTTACAATTAATAAGATTTATTATGTCTAAAGATAATTACAAAAGAAAATAGAATAAAATTACAATCTTCAACTTACAGTATGGTGGATCTCGTACCGGTACACAGTTAATACAATTAGAAATAATGATGCCAATAAATAATGCGAAATAAACACATATAAGTAGGAGCACACAAACACACAAAGAATAAAACACGCCTCGTAATGTTAAGAGAATCTATATGAAAATCTCCTCTCGTCCGTGCCTGTCAATCCCTTATATAGGTGTAGAGTAAGGCGCTTCCAGAAGGGCTTATGACGTGTTGTTTACATATCTCGGGTTAAGGAGTACATTCCAGAAAGTACCCCGAGTCATTATACCCAATGCGTAATTGGAAGCCGATTGTAAACAAGATACTTCAAAGGCCTAAGCCACACCCCTTTGTGAACTCATGCGGGGTCAATCAGAGGGCACGCACGAGAAATATGATGTAAACAAGCTCTCTGTAACACCACACTTTATCCCCATGATTTAAGTTGACAATGGAGGGTGCGGCGCACAATAGGAATTGAGCAAAAATAATAAAATATATAATAATAGGCCTAATGTGAACGAAATCACATATATGTGACGTAACGATTTTCATTGGTCACACTATTTCACTAATGTTTATCCTTGAAAGGAACCATCTACTAGGCCTACTCTTTAAGTTATTAAAAATAATGACAACTTAAAAAATAAAATTATAATTTTGCTTCAATTTTGAACAAATTTTTTTAAGGGGGTGGGGTCACCTGACTTGCTCGGCACTGGGGTGTCGGATGAGGGAGAGAGTGGCATGAAAGAAACACTGTAGGCTGGTTTAATTCGAGAATTCACTATGACGCCATGCAAAAAAATTTACTGTTAAAAAAATTCTTACACAATTTTTGACTATTCACTAAAAATATTGGTATCAAACAAACGGCTGCTTTCCCACCCCATTTTTTATAAACGCCCCTGGTGCCAAGCAAAGTTTGGTAAAACCGCCATTACCAACCGACCATGTCAATGCCCCATAAATGATCAAAAAAGGGTCGTTGTGACGCTACTCACTGGGAGAACAACCGCGTAGCTCCTGTTTCTCCCATTCACATTCTCAAATTTCTTACAATATTGATAAACGACATTGTCTTTACAGTTAAATTATGCCACCAGTAGGGCTACACTACATATAAATTTAGCTTACTGCTCAGTGGTTCTCAAACTTTTTAAAGCTCTGACTCCTGACCACTTGATATAAAATGTGCCATTTACTGGTGACACGAACCATAAATATCTATTTCATTTGAGATATTGTGCTAATTAGTTAAGTGGGGGGTGGGGAGGGGGGTGCGGGTTTACTCGTTGCTAATATCTTAGGGCCTATTGAATAAATAACAATGTTCATTAAGTAGATGAAGTGATGTCACAGTGAAGGAACATAAGAAACCAGTCTGATCACTGAAAATAATTCTTAAAATAAAAGGTGGGCAGGTGGGGATAATAAAATACAAATACGCATTTAAAAGTTCTCAAGCGATACCTGAAATATTCTTGAGAACCACTGATCAAGCTATTGCCGTTGATAAAAGTTTAAGTCTTTTGAAAAGCACAAGAAAATTTGAGAAGGTCTCTCAACGTGTCTCAAGCCTGAGGCTCTGGGCGCAAGGGTCCTGGCTCGTTGCCCATCTTACCCAAGGATGATACGGCTTCATCATAGGGCACTGAGTCAGGAACTCCTCTGAGTCAGAACGTTAATAGTATTATGAAAATTACAATTTTGACATCGATCTCATCGGCCTGAATATTGAGGATTCAGCACAAACAAAATTATATTTTAAATCAACGTCAACAGTTTTCAAGAACTGAACATTTTTATTCAGTTTCTTTAGAATTAAAATAACATTTGGCCTGTTAATACAAAGAATGGAAAAAACAACAAGAACGTAAGAACAAGTGTAAAAATAAAATGTAGGCATAAAAAAAATGTGGGCCATGACGTAGGGTGTTCTTGTGCAAGGTTTTAAGAATTATCAAAAAACCCCAAATTACTCACCGCTTTATTATGTTGGTGGTCGTTGACATTTTAATATTAAGATCTAGGGGAGGTAGGTCACTTGCCATTAGATAAACCATTTATTAAAACTAAAATAGCATTATTTTTCCTACCAAGATATAAAATTTATGTATTTTAAAATTTTCTTAACTTACAGGGAAATGATTATTGTAATTAACTTTTATATATTTTTCCTAAATAAATTGATACCCCTTGTTCCATGTCATATTAGGTATGCCTCACTGATGCTAAAAATAACCAACCAATCAATTTCCAAGCAATATTACCAGAAAAAAAAAATGTCTTGATGGGAGGTAACTCATACTGACTACGAAATTTGGATTTATTCACCATAAACTTATGTATGTTGAAAAAGTTCACTAACCACAAAAATACACCGAAAGTCTGTGCCTAAACATAATTAGCACTGGAAACATCAGAAGTAACGATTAAAAGGATAGCGTAATGACACACACGTATTATAGTGTATTATTACTGTTATCAGGAACTTTTGTGTCTGGACTTTTCGGTAAGTTGTTTTTATTTACCTATTTACTAGTCATCAACTATTAATAATTAATAATTAACTACTATAGTATAGACTAGTTACGACTAGTAATTTACTAGTACTAGTATATACTATATCATGTAAATGTCTTGTACTGAAATGTACTGTAATGTAACAGTAACAGGTATGATGTGTATGAATTCTTATACAATCAGAAAAATTCAATAAATTACTAGTCACGATTTGTATCATCAATGTTAATGTTTACTGGATTGTTACAATAATTTGAAAAATGTTATTTACTATTTTAGGCCTAATGCCTAATGAATGCAGCAAGTCATTCCTAATTCCAAGGCCCAAGGTCTAGGTCTAACTCTAACCATAACCATTATAATATTATAATTATAGCCATAATTGCCATAATAGTAGTATTAAAATTAAATTAATTTTAAATTTATAAAGTATGTTATATGATAATGATATATAATATATATGTAACATGTAAATGTAAGTAATGTAGTACTAGTAGTATGTAGTAATAATAATAATAATAATAATAAAGTTTATTTGAAAAACACGCTTCATCCCCAAAAGCTCGAAGCGCTGTACAAAGTCAACCATATTAAATAAAAAGAGAAATACAAACAATCTAAAATTTACCACATTTAAAATCAGACACAACAATATAAAGCTACATACGAGCATACCCAGTCAAAGTCTTTCATCCCGTTTCAACCATACGCAACACAAGCCAATATCAATATACATTATCATTAACTGAAAAAGATGGTAGATAGCATCACCCCAGGTGTTTGCAAAATAGATGTGTTTTTAAATCGGTTCTAAAGGACTCCAGTGTCTGGCTGTTTCTGAGAGCGACTGGAAGTGCGTTTCTAATTGTTGGGCCGTCAAATGCAAAAGTGCGCTTTCCGTAAGTCTCAAGGCGAACACACAGTATCGATATTTTGCCACTATCTTAATAGTAATGAGTAATGACAATGCTTCTAACAATGCCAATTACAACTATCTTTGATTTTAGTTTGAGAAATATTTATCTGCTATACTATGTAATATCCACCTACTCGTTTAGTTGTAAAACATGACCTTGAATTTACAACAAAAAATCTATAGTCTATGCATACCATTTTAAATTTATTTATGTTAACTGAATTTAATATATTGCCATCTCATTAACAATTCAACCAAACTTTTGCGTCGTTTTTCTACTAAATATATTATTGGAACATCGTTAAACAAAGAATTATTTTATTTAAATTTAAAGAAACATCTCTTAACCATTTTTCACGCTTGTAATAACCTTAAGTGTTTTGTTAAAAAGAAATGTTATAATTAATCTCATAAATATACACCTATTTTACTTTTCGCAAAGTAAAAACAAAAGCATTTCCATTTTTTGAAAGAAAATCATAACCCATCTTTGTTCAAGCCCATGCAATGAACTGTAAAGGAAAAAATATAACTCTATTTTTAAAATTAAATTTCATGTGAGTAAAATTATTTGGTTTTGATATTTTAAAAAAATTTTCTTAATTGGTAAACATATATTTATTTGTAAAAAGATAACAAAACACCTCTTTTTCACGACTATCATTGTACTATCATTGGATTTAAATATATTGTCATCCATCTATAAATGTACACAACCCTAACCCTGATATCACTTATTTATGGAAACTAAGAAGAAGGTTAATTATTTTTTCAAATTTTTACTTTATTCTGAGGCGTATCTTGTGTTGGCTGTGACAAAATGAAAGTGTCAAATCCCCCTCCTCCACATTTTTAATAAAAATGACTAAAATATTCCACAGGATGGTAGCCCCCCGCCCCTCCATACGAAACCACATATTTTTTGCTTGTCCCTGAACTTAATTAAAATTCTAAAATTTCCTTTTACCACACATTGTTTTATATTTTCTAAATAAAAATATTTAAATCTAATTCTACGCATAATTTCCATATATTATCGATTATTGTTATTTTTTTTAACATTAAAAACTATGCCAAAGTTCAAATATGTCACATAATTGGGTTTTGAGATATTATTGTCATCAAAATGAACCAATTGTAACTTCATATGATTTGCTCTTAATTGGATGAGTGATAAGTGACTTTTCAAATTGCTTGTGAACCCTAATCATGGTAGGCTGGAACTGAGAAACTGCTATAAATGAGCAATGCCTGTACACCATTATGCACATATCATGTACAACATCATAAGATAAGGCTAATGGGATTTTCTGGGCAGGTTATACAAAGTTCTGTCTTATAAAATACCGATAATAGTAAATACCCGGTATTATGGCTTATTATTTATTAAAAAAATATTGATGAATATTAAATGATAGCGTTTGCATTTTTCATTATTCTATTGGCTTATGTTATGTATATAAAAGTATAATTTCAGAAAAGGTAACTTTTAAATTCTATTGTAACCAGAAATATATATATTGTGTGTTAAAGTAATCCACAGCCATATGTTTTTCTTTTTGTTATTAATTCAAAGAAAAAAATCAGGTGAAATTAAGAGTAAACTTACCCCACAATAAAAATAAATCGATATACACTAAGACTTGAAAAGAATAAATTCCGGAACATTTAGACAGTTTGTGAAAAAATAAAATCTGAAACATATGGTGGCAATTGAAATATGAACATTTTATGTGTCACACAGGATAATGCTATTAAATATGGTCAATAATGTAGGTCTAAGTTAAATAGGGGACTACATTCAGTAGGTACCATTCATATTAAAGGTTGTGAGCAAAATCAGTCTAAAAGTGTAAAAAATAAAAGTATCAAAGCTTCTGCTTTGGATTTTCTAGGATTGATTTTAAGTACATTTTTTACAATTGTAATTAGATGAAAGTGTAAATCTTCAACAGGTGCAAAGGCTAGCTCATGTCCTCAACATGTAATGCAAGTTTCCAGAGGTCACACTTCAGTATACAATCATGTTTGTTACCTTTTTGTTGATGAAGAAATTTACTGGACACCAGCCAGAGACAGGTGCTGGAATCTGGGTGGAGAGATGCTCTCCATTGAAAATGAAGAGACCATGACCCACATACAGAGCAAGCTGAATTCACCAGAGCTGGGTTGGAGACGGAATGGGGTGTGGCTGGGAGCAAAAAATAAAGCTGGAAGATGGAGATGGACCAATGGTTAGTTGCAATACGGTACTACTCTCTGACCATTGCTAGAATAGGACTGTAATAATTTCTGTAATAATAACAAGAGTCAGGTAATGTAAAATAATAATAATATGTAAATATACAGCGAAACATAATCAGTGAAAAAATTTGAAATGAGCATCATTCTTTACAGGCCTTTTAAAAAAAAAAATAGTCCATTTTGATTGATTTACAAGTTCCAAAAGAGACTTCCTTAGCAAATTGTTTTATTATTTAAAGGACGACCTATGGAATATACTAATTGGGCCATGGGACAGCCAAGCCAAGTCTTGGGGCCTCTGTCAGTGGAAGATTGCACACAAATGCGCAGTGAGGATAATTGGAAATGGCATGATCATATCTGTGGCTCATTGAGATATCACTACAATTATATTTGTCAATTTCGTAAGTACTGGACGTGCTTTGTCTTGATTTTATTGCCGTTTTCAACAGTCTTATATGTCTCTCAATCTTTGTTGTTGATGTTGTACAAAGTATTTGATACTTTTACTAAATGTACTTCCAAATTGCATTCAATATTAGCCAAAAGGGCTTAAATTGGCAGCTAAACATGACTTGTTACCTGGATACAGTATATTTATTGTATTACATGCATTAGTTCTAAACCACAGCTTGATTTGAATATAGTGTCATGTTTACCAGATTTACATTTTTTATTTTCCTGTAGCCCTGAGCAAGCCAGGCGATGGTGCTGGAAGAGTGTCTGAATCAGCCAAGCAACAAGATCAGGATAATGGGAATGGTGAGCCTTATTTTAATCTACTGACTCCTCAGCAGTTTTAGGACAGTAAGGAAAACAAAGATGATTTTTAATGTTTTTTAAAAATATGCAGCAATTGATTATTTTCATAAATTTTCCATTCAAAATAGTAATATTTAATAGTGATCAAACACTGGTTATCTCTTTGACAAACTTCATGCTGGTAACTGTTTATGTCAAAATGTTTAAATAAAAATCCATTCTTTAAGTTAAGCTGTACCTAACGTCAGACCGTACAGCCCCCTGGCGGTGGGGGGAGGTAGCGCAACACCGCTCCCCGGAGAGGAAGCAAAGCCGTTCAACCCAACGTCCCGTCAGAATGACTCAATGGGCAAAGGGGGAGACAACGTAAAATCTCCTCCTCAATGAGTAGAAGATATCTGCCCAAATCCCTACTCGAGGCCGTGTTGCATGGCCGGAGTCCTTAGGGACTACTGGGCCATGTTTCATGGCCAGGGTCCTAAGAGATAGAATCTCGACCCATAAGAGTAATGAGCTTTATCAGTAGGCTTAGGTATATTATAAATATACTACGGCAATACATCGCCATCCCCTAGCGCCGGCCCTGGCTGGTTGGTCGGTCTTTGTACCAGCTAATCAGATTGCTTCTCACTTTTATTGTTCATCTTGCCATCTTAAATTGATATTTTACGGCGTTCTGTCATTTGATATTATTATATCCATTTATTTGGTACCTAGTGACCCCATAAACTATAAATGCCTAAAAAATAAATGACCTTGAAATATGGCAAAAGGCATAAGCAGTATTACACATTGAATCTTATTCGAATATGGGTAAGGACTTATTTAAGCTTCAACATTATCTCATTTGCATAATTGTAACCTTTCAGTTTGATTCATAAAGATTGTTTATTTCTCTTTACCCCTCTTGCTTACCAACATAACTGGTGTCTTAAAACTTAAAATCTGCTAACAATTTGCACTGAATAAACCCATGCAATTTCAACTATTAATTTAGACATGTCATTAAAAAATTTTTTTAGACCAATATATAATGGTACTTAGAAAGCAACATGTTCTATAATGTAATTTTTCATGCACTTACACAAGATGGCACTAGGTAAAGAAGTGTAAAATAGACTAATTACTTTTTTATAACCTGTATAAGTTAAGAAAGATATTGTTTAAAGAAATAAAAAGTTGACTAAAGTTTAAGGAAATTTCAACGTTATTTCATAAAATAAATTATAATTGAAGAAGAAAAGAATGGAGTTTATTCTATTCCTTACAAGAATATATTAAATATCTTAATATTTTTAAAGTAATTAGTTTATTTTAAATTTTTTTTTTTTTTGCTTTAGTAAGTACAGTGCAGGGCTTTTGAAAACGGCTCTGTCTTTTTGGCACAGACATTCCAAAAGGGCTATTTCTAAAGAGGGTTAAGTTGTATTTATTTTTGGAATGGTTCAGTCAATCTTATAAAATGACCCCAATAATTGATATTCTCTTGATATTTGCCAGTATCACCAATGACAAAAAGTTGATTTCTTTTGTATTTGAAAAGCTATGGATAGCAAAGGGTTAAGTATAATGATAAGAAAACAACTAGATCTAAATTTCATTCTGTTTTATTCACATTAAAATTTCCACTTATTTAACAGTTCTTAAAATTATTCTGATTTCAGCCAGACTTCTTGCAATCATTGTTGGCTTGGGCACTGGTCTATTGGTCGTTATGGGACTTGTATTTCTTATCCTGCATTACCGCTATAGAAAGTCCAAACTCAAGGCTCAGGAGGGTGCAGTTCATTACTCCAATAACACATACCAGAGCAACACTGCACATTCTCATGACCAGCAGCCACCACAATTACCTTACTCGAGGCCTCCCTTGTCTGATCACCAGACAGCACTTTACACAGAAGTATGTTATTACTGATACCTAAAATAGAAACTTTTGAATTCCACTGATTTTCAGCTTTGTAAGGTAATTTCTACAATATTCGTCTGGAATACCTTTTAAAGACTTAAGAAATATTTAGATAGATATAGATACTTTACTAGTCACTCACAAAGAAAATGTAAACTTTGTTATTATAGTTGGTAATTTACTTTTTCTCAGGTGGTTAAACCCAACAATCATCTGCACATGGTCAGCCTGCCGGATGTTAAATCAATCACACACTCACCAGAACGGTCAAGTGAACTAAGTGGTAGCCCAGTTGGAGTGGACGGGGCTTGGGGTGGCAGTGACCAAGACTTTGATCTGAAATCACCACTTATCAATGAAGGGGTCAGCAGTGACCAGGGTCAGTATGTTGACATGAATGCAATTGCAGGGGCTAAAGATGGAGAGCAGGCTCACAAAGAGGATAAACACATGTACAGTAATGTGGATCTCAGGGACAAAGGTGTGGAGAACCACTATGAGGTCCTGGCCTGATGTTATTTTTAGAACGTGTTTTGTTTTTTCTTTCTTTCTTTCTTCAAAGGTACTCCTGAAAGTTGGCAGTAGAGTTGAAAGCACGCAGTTTAATTAAAATTGTCATGAAGATAACCCAGTATAGAACACATCTAGTTCAAGGATTGCTCTTATGTGATTTATTATTTTGCAATTATGAGATTTATTATTTTGCAATTATGAGAAATATTTCTCATTTCTCATAAGTCAAAAGCTTTATAAATTGAAATCCACCGTATTCAGGAATCACTGGCTTAAAACAGCAACAAATTTAAAATTATTTATGCATATTCATTTCAACTTCATCAGCTAAAGTCAAGGTGTATTGTCCAGTAGGCATGCATGCTAATGTCTATAACAAAGTTGTAAATGGGATTACATTTTTTCAACTTTTCTGGTAACTGGGGTGGCCAGTATGTATCTCTGTATTTACTGTTTAGCAGAGAATTGAATAATGATGACACTGTTCCTTGTGTCTTTACTATTTGTATGTATCTGGATGATTTCAGAAAATTTATACAAAGTTCATATATACAAGTTAGTGCAAAATTGTGATACAAGTTATACAAAAGTCCATTAACAGTAAAACATAAAATGTTGCCATGTCTTTACCATTACCTCTAGTCACAGCTCTCTTTTTAACCCAAACCCCTCCCCACCTCTATTCTTATAAAATGACTTATGTGAGATTGAACTTAGTTTGCCTGAACAGTTTACGTAAGTCTTAATATTTTTATGCTGCTTGTTATACTATATCTATTACTGTTTGTTAGATCTAAACTATATTCTATTACTGTTTGTTAGATCCAATTTCTATTTCTAGTAACGTATGAACTTGTACATTTGGGTCAATATTTTATTCCATCAAGTAATATCTATTTTTTTCTTTCTAAGAATTTTTTTTTTGTGATGCAATAATACAATCTTAGATATCTATTTCTAGTCATGCAAATTTTGGTGGACAATCTGGGTTATGTTTGTACAACAGCTTGAGTGAACAGCAACTTAAAACAAATATTTTTAAGTGTTGCTCTGTTAAAAAAGCCATTATGACAAAGAAGATGTTGAAAAAGCCATTATGACAAAGAAGATTCATTTGGTCAAATAACTTATTCATAACATTAGTACTTCTTATTTTAATCTTACACTTTACATTTAGTCAAACTGGTTAAATGATGTCAATTTGCAACAACTAAATTTGGGTTATGTGTCTTGAGTTGAGTGGGTTGAGTTGTTTTTTGTGTAGATCAAGGTATCAGAAACTCAGATGTCCCTTAGTTTTTTTAAATTTAATCTTCAAAACATAACAATATATTTTATTGTAGTCTATTAAGATATTTTTTTATTTTACATATCTTGTAAAAGTATGTTTGTGAGTTATTGACTCCGGCATTGCAAAATGAAAGCAGACAGGTTGTGTTGTTTTATAATGTCTGTGTACTGGCTACAAGGAAATGTTAATAAATTTTGGAATTATAATTATTATTTAGACATAACTCACATTAAAAATAGTAGAAAAGTTAGATTTTTAAAACTTATATAGAAAGTGGATGAATGTAATTATTGAATTGAAAGATATTTAACAGTAAACAATAATGCTTTACCTTTTCTTTTAGTGTTCCTTTACATATCTTCCATTTGAAAAAATTTATGATATCATTGCCATAGGTTCCTGATTAAATGGTGTAAATAGACATACTATATTTAGTTAATGTAACTGTAAATAAACATGTTTAGTTGTGACTGAGAATCCATTGTGCAGTCTTTGAAATATCACACACATAATGTACATTTGCAAACACAGAGGAATACATACACACAACAATATAATAACTGAGAAACTTCTGTTGACAGTTTGATATCTCTTGTAAAGAAAATATATTATGATGGGCTATCACCTGCACAATTGATTTTGTTAATAACCTGTTTTTTTACTTTAATTAAATTGTGTTATATGTACATAATTTTGATACATTTTAATAAATGCTTGTTTTTAAAATATTTTAAACAAAAATCAAAATAAAACTTAAGTTACTTTGTTTCATCAACCTAGTTTTTTTTTAATTACTAAGTGTAATGTTGTTTTGCCCTTACATCACTGTACAATAATTATGAAGGCCATCCTGCATTTTGCATGTTTATACACTTGTCACATTTTGCATTTTTATACACTTCTCAGGCATTGAAAGTGGAGGCATCAGGCTGGTGCCAGAACGTAGCTTCATAACAAATACATCTGGACAAATGAAGCATCATTAAAATCAGCTGTTGATTTTTTTGATTACATGGAATTAAAACAGTAAATCTTATACTATACAAAAAAAAAAAATGAGTGATTCTGAATAAATGACTATTCTGAATAAATGACTATTTATTGTCTTTAAAAAAGAATTTCAAGTAAACATTACACTTCTTGATGTTATGGAGTACAAAATGCACTTGGATTTATTTTCCTAGGAACATATTTAATCCCCTTGCAATAATAATTATTATCATAATTAGTAGTACTATTGATAAAACAAGTTTAAAATAAATAATATATCACATAAGAATTATAAACTTGTTAATTTGGGTGCTGCAATGAGGCTGGACCCTAAAATTTTGTATAACATGTCTTAGTAAACCCACCTTGCTAGAATAACCCCCCCCCCCTTTCCACCTATTGTTTTAATGAGTCATTCCCCATCTGTTGTTGTCCTCCACCCCCCAGTGCGTTAAAGTCACTGGATTTTTTTTACCAGTGATGCCTGAGTTTTTTATTGGTATGATTATGATCAAATCTCATGACTGAGGTCAGCCAATGATAAATTTCCCTCACCTTAGATAAATGTCTAGTTATAACAAAATTACAGTCTTTCTCATCTCATCACACTGTGGTAACACCTCATACCTGCTTGCGAACCCAGGCAGAAATGAACCAAATGAGTTTTAGGCAGGCATCGATTTCGATCATTTTACTTTGACACAATCTTGAGATAATTCACTGCTTGTCAGAAATGTTGGATTTATGATTAACTTTAGGACCTCTTGTAATTCAATAACTTCAATTTTCTATATTTCAAAAATCTGTACCCTGGGGCAATTGAAGCTGCTTGGGCAGGGTCATATTTGACTAAACTGTCAACAAATGAGGCCGTAACACACGCAGACCTTGATGAAAAAGACACCCAGACTTAGAAAGGAGGTGGTATTGGGCACATCCCCTACTGAAATAAAAGCCTTCATAGATTGGTGGCAGGGGGGATACTGAATTATTTTCAAAGCATGTCTAATCAATGACACAAACCTGATGAGGTGAGAAGGGTAAACTTTTATTTTAATGCATCGACTACCTTTTGAAAAAGTGTTGGTTAATATATTAAAACATGTATCAAAAATGATTTCACCAGACAATGCATTCCCTGTGTATATATGAGTAAAAAATGGTCACCCCCATGGCCCATCAAGTTAAACAATAAATTCTGCTCAGTTGTTTGAACAGCGAGTGATATCATAGGTATGAAATCTTTACAGAAATTTGGCATAAAATAATGGTTTATTAAGTACCACGGACCCTCGCAAAAAATAGATTTTATCAAATGAAATTAATAACCCTCATGACAATATGAAATTAAAAAAACAAACAATTCTTTATATCAGGCCTGCACAACTCAAAATGTAAGGTGGGCCGTAACACTAAATGAAAAACTTGTGCGAGCCGTAATACTTTATGAAAAACTTGTGCAGGCCGAAAGATAATAGGACAGGGCAAAAGTTATTAAGAAAATAATAAAGAATATTTCGTTACTTTGCGGGCCGCCAAGTGGGTGCTTGCGGGCCGCATGTGGGTTGTATGCTATACAGGCCTGCTTTATATGATTATTTTACTAAAGACCTATTAGCCACTCTTGATTTCTCAGATCATTAAATAAGGGACTTAACATAGAGAACTGTCAAATTTTAACATTTAATAGTGACTTTTTTAAAAACATGACATAGCTAGGAAATCCTTGATCAAGAAAATCATTTACGCTAGAACATCCTGCCTGAAACAAAACCTTAGGAATAACAAATACCCAGATAACTGCTTGGTAATAAAAAAAAATTATTAAAAAAGTTTAAATTGAAAAAAACAACTGTAAACTTAATTTAAATGAAGCGAAATATTTAAGCCTTTAATTATTTGGTGTTATTTAGAGATGGGCGAGAAATACATGTCAATAAATTAAAGGTCATAGCAGCAGTACATATCCCCAGCTTTGCTAGAGAAACTTCTATTTGACCAGTCTCATGAAAACTGAAAGCCTTGCAAGTGCCCGAAAGACTTTTACACAAAAAAAATACATATATGTTTAATGATTTGGATACGATTTCCCCCAAAAATTCAAGTAGCCATTCTTACCGTATAAATCTTTATTTTTAAACAAAACAAAAAATAATGAGTTACACATTTTAAAACTTTTTGTGTTTTAATTTTCACAAGTTTTGAAATAATAAAGTAAACCATTTTATGTGAGTTGTTAACAAAATTGATTTGACAAAAAGATAAACACACAATTCAATTTTGTTTTAATACCTATTTTGAATAATTGGGGTTTTTATAGCAAAAATTGTATGTGTACTGAATAAATGATTGAATGATATTATTTACACATTCTAATAAGAAGACTATGTTTACAAAATTCAAAGACAGTCCCTTTGTATGCTTCATAAATTTAAAGATAGTATTATCACCGCACAGTTGTCAGTATGTTTATGAACCTACAGAATAGTCTGTAAAACAGCAGACATCCGCTCAAACATAGCATCACTATCTAAACCAATAGCAATCACTGAAGAAATTAACCCTTTCAGGGTAAATACTATTATTATTTTTAAAATAGTACTGCCACCATGTTGCATATACTGCAACAAAAAATGTCAAAGAAGATTTGTTTTCATTTGGTTAGAAGCCTTCCCCAAAACGTAGCTAACATCAGTTACACCATCATCTAGAATCATGAGAATCACTGACATCATAATTCATCTTTAGTCTTATCAACTTGGTAATACCCTCAACAGATGTTACAACAGCTTCAAGATTTCCAGATATATTCATCTGTCTTTGCACTTTACTTTACTCCAATAATGCAGATTGTTAGCTTTAAGTTAATATTCTTACCCTCATGAAGTGTGAGGCAAACTCCACTTTGAAATCAAAAGGAATTAATGGCTTAATAGAAGTTTGAGTTCCCGCTTTGTCTGATTTATCCTCAGTTTTCATATTAAGGGCTGCTCTTCCTCTAAACAGTCATTATTGGTATCTGCATCCTGAATATCCTTTACTTGGGTCTCATCACTGGGCAAAGCTTTTGCTGTTATATAGTGAGAACCCAAGAACAGCTTCCTCAGTTCTTTCCTCATGAGTGCTACCACAATGGTAGTCAGCAAAGTACAGGGCACGAGATACAGCAAGGCCGGCTGGCCAGAATTCATGTAGATCAGAGATATCATGCAGATGATCATTCCAAACAGATAACCAACAGAAGAACAAATGAAGTACACCATACGAGTTCCTGTCTTCACATCGAAGATTGCATTGTAAGCTATAAGTAGGCCTGGAATTATAACATCACCAAATCCCAACAAGGAGTAAGAGCGCTCCCTGCATTTGATTATTGGTGCATTGCTGAGAATGGGGACCAGAAACACCATAGGCAAAGACTCCTTTGAATGACTTGAGCCACCCGTGGCTACTGATTCCATAATGCTATCCCCATTTTTCGTGAAATATGGGGTGATGAACACAAAGAAAACATCATAGACCAGCAGAAGAATAAGAAGAACTCCAATGACTTTTAAATTGGGCAAGCGAAGGTTGTGGATGAAGAAAATGCAAAATGAAGATCCAAGCAAATCTTGTATAGTCCAGGCATACTTGCTGTGACGTTCAATGGCCCAAAATATTCCCAGGGTCAAGCAAGGCATATACAGCAAAAAACTTCTGAGTTTCACCTGAAAATGGATAACAGTTAATTTATTATTAAAGTATAAAAAAAAAACACTATTTAAAAACATAGGTGGTGGTGGTTAAAAATATAATCTATATTCTAAAAAAGTGCCATTAAATATCAAAAAAACATTATAGTATTATATTGATCAATAGTCTGCTTACCTTTGTTTTAATGCAAGGAAGCCTATTAACTGGTATGTCATATGACAAGGGTACAAGATGCGACCATATTGGTAGCAAACACTGGTATAAACTATAAGAACCAGCCAGGCAGAACATGGCAATAAAGAAGTAGACCATCTGCTCATAGAAGAAGTAGAGGAAAACAATCACCGCACAAATGAAGACGAACCAGATAACAACCATGCACACAGTGAATTCCACTTGCTCCTCCTGTGGCTCACTTGAGGTACTGGTTTTGGAATCAACAGGAACAGTAACCCGGTGCTTTGCCTGTTTAAATGACTGAGATTCCTCATATGCTGCCCAGCCAGCTCCCATCATCACAAATGCAGTGGAAAAGATGACAATGACAATCATGTTTGTATCCCAGTATGGTACCGGTGGAGCATACAGTCTAACCACGACTGATTTTCCTAGGAGTAACAGCTGCTTGTAGTCATTCCAGGTAATTGTGGCTAAGGTTATGTTGATGGATTCAAAATCTGAGGCATTTCCACCAGGAACTGTAGCTCTACTTGAGTTTTTAAAGTCTACAATGAGAGCAGCTCCTCCATTCACTGCTTCTATGTTGGTTGCTTTCTGTATGAAAGTGCAGTTTCCTCTCATCACAGCCACAATAGCTTTTTCAGGAATGGGAAGTGGTTTTAAGTCTTGTATTGAGCAGCCTTCTGTTTTAGAGAGATCTACCAACTGCCTTGAAACAGCTGAGGGTGAGGCTAAAGTTTCGGGCAGCTTTTGATAATCCGAGTTATAACTGATGCAGAAGGAACTGCTGCCAACATCTAGGAGAGCACTACTTAAGGCTTGAGCCTGTTGATGAGCAATTGAGAATAAGTGGCTTTTTAACAAACATATTAATATATAAATAGTTTTAAGTGCCTTGCTAAATGTGATCCAATATTTAAATTTCTGCACTATTTTCATTTTTAATGATAATTGCACCTAATTTCCTGGACACATTCACATTCTAATTTAATATTACAATATTGTATTACAACACAACCAACAACAAAACTTTTCAATTACATCAAGACTTTGTATGTTGGATAATTTTATTTGAGGTTATGCTAAGAAAATCATGAACAGAAAAATTGAAGAAAAAAACCCAACTTATAGAGGAAAGCAATATGGAATATCTACTACCAAATATTGTTATTAATTAATAAAATACCAAATGAACATGTTCAGGTTACTATAATTTGTTTGCTATCTAAATGCAGCAGACCTGTTTATCCCTGTATTAGTAAAATCGTACAATATCGTCTCAAAATCGTACAATACAGTATATTTCGCGTACGTTACAATGAGCTCTCAAAAAAAAAATCCAATAATCTTTATATATTTATGATGTTACAGTAAAGAAAATGTGACACTGGTTTTCACCATTGCAATTCAGCCAGCCCAGTGGGTCCCAGAATATATGCTGCATCGCCCTGCGTGCTCTTTGTCCTCAGACAAAACAAGGACCATGATAGTTAAGTGAATTAAACCATTTACTTATTCAAAGAGAAAGGGCACAATGAATTGACCTTTTACTGGTCCCCCTGGGTGGGTGGGTGGGGGTACATATTTTCTATATGGGTTGCTGCGGCTTCCTCGCAGGGGCGTTGCGAAATATTACAAAATTTTCATAACTTTATTTTTTTTATTTGACAAATTTGGGTCGTGCTGTAAAGTGTAAACGGTAACCCACTAGAGTACCTACTGTTTGCAGTTACTAGATGGCGCTAAGCGACCTACATACATGGCAGATTTATGTTTCCACAACTCTTTATATTATTTTTTTATGCATTTGCTATATCGAAGTGTACTCATTAGACTTTCAATCACGGAGCCTGGTGAAAAAACTAACTTTGGCATAGGCGCCAGGAAACAAAAGTTTCAGAACCCCGGGCGTCGCCCAAGAAAATATACATCATACGCACATTGATCATACTGTGGATTAAATAAATATTACTGTAATATCTCTACTACTGAGTACATACTCACATTGATCATACTGCGGAATAAATAAATATTACTGTAATATCTCTATTGTTTTACTCATTTCCTTTTTGGCCTACAATGGTAAAAGGCATCTCAAGATCCTACATTTGTACGCCTAAATAGTAAGAGTAAACAGTTCTGAATACAAAATAAGTAAACTAAACTACGGTACGGAAAACAAAAAGGGTCGCCGATTCCTATAATGGTAACATTAAAATCACGCAATGTGCACATCCCTTGGTGTAGTCAAATTCGAATGCCAGAATGATCTTATAAAATATGTCCAAATCCACTGTTTCAGTGATCAGTGCAGAACTGTTGGATAACTTATTTTATTATTTTTAAAAAACATCTCTAGTTTGCTCCGTTACCACAATCACAATAAAAAAAACTACGTCACACGTTTGGTAGTAGTCAAAGGGAATGGTGAATGTCGCAACTAGTCTAAATATTACTGTTGATGCAGCTAACACTCCCACCAATCCCATGTGCCTCGTATGCCACAAATCTCCTTAATCAACAACCCCCACTCCCCTATCAGTGCGTACATAATAAAATTAAGAATGGTCTCAACTTTTAAAAAAAATTAAAATCGTTTTTCTTGGTCAATTCCCTGACAATCTTTAATTTATTAGAAACTTATTAACAACCGAATGAAGAAAACAAATTATTCTGAAAAAATTACCCGAATATTTTTTACCGGATCTGTGAAAATCATAGTTTTGTATGGGTCTCGGCGTACACACATAAAAGACATCTAAAAATCATACATTGTACGCCAAAATCGTAAGAGTAAATAGGTCTGATGCAGTCTCCCATTTGCGCCTTACGGTTCTTAGACAGCTACTGATTACTCTTATGTTATCATTTCTATTTGAATTACAATATAACCCAAGCCCAAGGCAAATAATAATATTAATTTCTTTATACTTTATTAATTTATTAGGTAAATTTTAAGGACGACTGTCACTATTTTATCGAATTTCACGAATGTTTCCCTAAATCGATCCCTTTGCCTACTAACCTGAACCCTAAATTGATCGCTATGCCTAACCTGAACCCTAAACTAAATCGATCCCTATGCCTAACCTGAACCCTAAATCGATCCCTCAACCTAACCTAAACTCTAATACACTGCAACAATAATAAACACACAATACACGCCGTGGCAGCAATCCTTAATATTAGCCATTTATTGTTTCAACTAAAAAGAAAGTTTGCTGACATAGTTATTGATATTGAATTGAAATTGTATTCAGTATTCTTTTAAATTCTGATCTGAAATGTAAATATTTAATTTGCCTACACTAAAAATGAATCCACCCAACAACAAATCATTGACAACGACAACATAACAATCAGATCATACAACTACAAACAAGCCTAGCAGGTTACTAGTTAGACTAATCTCACTAGTTACGAGTATACTCAGAGAATAGGCCTAGTATAAAGAATAGTATAAGTATAGTAGTATTATAGTAAAATAAAGTATAAGTTAGTTATTTGTTGGTAATTTTACCTCAATTTCAATCAAATTTGATGAAAGTCCACTTAATAAAACAAATATCACCCACTTGACTACCCCCATGTTGATATTTCACGATAAATCAGCTTTTTTTAAAGTTTTGATATCAACCTATGATGTTGTCTTATTTATACATTGTAACTGTGTCGCTAGAATTATTATTCGAGCAACCCAAATCTGTCGCTGATACTGATGACAGCTAAGGTCCATCAATCTGCTACGAAACATAACTCTCGACCAATGCATTTCCCAACGTTCCTCTTACTCATTTCAGGAAGTTAGCAAATGCGTACCTACCTTATTCAGCCAACGACAACGCCAATTATTTATATTGATATTTACAATACAAAAATGTTTGGTTATATTTTTTTGGGGTGGTGGAGGTGGGGGAGTGGGTGTGGTGTTTTTTTTTTAAATTAGAAAATTATAATCTGTCATATCTTACTTGTTTTGGTGCATATTGTTTGCTGTCAAGCATTTCCCCATTGTTTATCCTTTAACTTTAAAGAAATAATAATTATACTGATGGACTAATTTGATACAACATTATAATTGGAGTTGTAATTGTATTACTTGTAGCCATTGTAGCGATAATCAGATAATCAAATATAGGATCTAATTTATCTTTCCCCTAAGGGCAGAGCCGTTCTTAGGAGTTTGGGGGCCCTAAGCATGGACGGTAGGTTGGGGGCCCCGGAAGATGGGGTCCGGGGGTGGAGCTCCCTCGAGCTGAGGAGAAAACACCACCCACCACTGCGGCACCTCCCTTCTGCCTTCATCAATGTTTTCTCGTTGCTTGCTGTAACCACTAACCATATTGATAATTCCGCTACTAGAGAAAATGTGTACTTCTGAAATATATGGACATGCAGGTGGTAGTGGGGCCCTAGGCGGTTGCCTAGTTTGCCTATATGCCTAAGAATGGCTCTGGTGGCACTTATTGCCTTATTTTGAGGAAGGAGATCGCCCCCGGCTATCAATAATTTGTTTTTGTGTGCATCATTGCTATGTGCCTTAGGTGTTAAGCGGCCCTGCGGGGGCCCCCTCACGTTCGGGGCCCTACGCGGATGCGTAGTCAGCGTATGCCTAAGAATGGGCCTGCTAAGTGATATGGTGTGTCGACAACAGACTATGACATACAAATTATACGGGTAGGCCTATTCTGCATTCTATACCAGGGGTCGACAAACTAGTGTCGATGTGCACCACCTGGCCTGCTATTTTACCCGGCCTGCAAAGGCAATGGTGATTTGGAGAAAAATTAGCCCATGCGCGTAGTGTGCATAGAACAACCGGTAGGACATTTTCAAAGAGGTAGATATATCCACTGGCCAGTGCCATTTGGATTGGTCACATTTGAAGTTGTTATGTAGCACCCTTCCCTCGTGCCGTGCACTCTGGTTGACCCCACATGAGACGGCGATCGCATTGGACGTGCCCTATTTTTCCTTTCATCTAGTCGTTGTTTTCCACAACTATCAACTAAAAATAACTAATGTATTGTAATAGAATGTTGGGGAAACTTCCATAATTGACTAGAAAGATAAAGACATTTCTAAAAGCGTTGGCACTACCGACGCATAGATATAAAAAGGGGATTCGGAGATTGATAGAGATTCAGATAGATATTATTAACTTTACGAGAAATTGTATTATTCTTTGTGTGCTCATTCGCATTCATCATTCATCATTATTAATTGGCCTATTGTACTAATTGTGTACCGGTACAAGATTTTCCGATATTCTGTAAGTTGATGATTTGTAATTATATATTTTTTTTTTGTAATTGTATTATTACTAAATTAAATCTTACTAATTGTAAATCGCAACTGTTTTGGGTGTCGTATCTTTATTATTCTATTTCTCTATGGTATCGTCCTTTGTTATGCACTGTTTGAACGAGCCATAAAATTAGAATAGGAGATTAATTTCTCACAAAAGAAGGCAGTGCGTATCAAAGTGCGTCACAAAATATGGCAGAGGAGTATCTTGTTATGCGACCGGGGAAAAAAATACATTCTGACGCCCCCTCCTCCCCCCCGCTCTGAAACCCATAATTTTCATCAATAAAATACCACCAAAGCCCATTATGGCGCCCCCATATAGTCTGCCACTCGGGGTTATCTCTCACTCTTTGTTATTCATATGACTGAAACTTCTCTGAAGTTTTGGGGAGCCTTTATTTGATACTTCTAGTACATTCTGGAGAAGCGTGTTTGTTTGTTTTTTTTAAATTTTGTTTTTAACTGTTCTTTTTAGTTAAAACTTTACAGTTCCAGCTCAATTGGACACCAGGAAGTGTGTTAAAATCGCAAGGCAAAATTTGACCCGCAGAGGTCACTCAAGGGTCAGTGAATGTCACTAATGACCTACTGATCATGAGAGTTGTATAGTCATCTGGCATGGATAAGTGTACAAAGTTCAAGCTCATTTGGAGAACTGGAAATGGGTCTAAATTTGAGATGAAAGACAAGCAGACAAAATCACAAGCTAAATAAAAGCGTGTAAAAATGCGTGGTGCGCCCATGTCCGTTTGTTAGACTGTGTGTGGTCAAATCTTGCATCTCAATTTTGACCCACTTCCTGATCTCCAGTTGAAATAAAGAACATTACATTTATAGGCATCTAAAGCATTTTTTTTAGTCATAAAGACTGTGAGTTACAGGGAAACAACTCTGACGTTTTGGGAGGAGATTTATTTGATATATTATATTAATCACATTAAAATACGCAGATACCAATTCACATCAAATTCCGTTGATGTTAAAGATGTTTAAAATGTTTTATAGATTCTTTTTTTGGTGTAAATTTAAGGACACAGCAAAACGATCCACTCTATAATAATATATAGGCCTACCTTTTAAAATAAAATAAAAATCAGATTCTTAAGCAGAATGAGTTGGAAATTCGTTAAATTTGTCCTTTTCAACAACAAATAAAATATTCTGCTTGTTGGAAAAAAAAAAAACAATAGTCATTTAATTGAATGCATTTAAAATCCCGCCATTTCTAACTATTTCGCTTAAGAAAAAAATGTCCGAATGAAACCTTAATTCTCTGTAAGTGAGCCTACTACTTTTCCCTACCTACAAATTCAGCTCGATCTCACATCAAAGCAACTGTGAATCCTATCAAAAAGTTCACTCTGGCATTTTTTGATACACGATTCCTAAAAATCCAATTTCTTGATTATAGAATCGATTTTGCTGACACACGAAAGATAGATATAGAAATTGTTCTGTAATCTCAAGTTTAGTTTATTTATTTCTAAAACTACATGTCTCAGAAAAGCATGTTAGCTGTTGAAGCCATTCACAAAACGTAAAGCTCAAATCGATGATCTTAAATAAATAAATAAATAAATAACAATAATTTAAAAAAGCTTGAATTTCATGTCTAAAAATAAAAAAAATCTTGTAAGTACTTTTAATCTTGAGCAGGCCAGAGGTGTAGTTAAAGGGGGGGGGGGGCAGAGGGGGGACCGATGTCCCTAGGAGGCAGACTAGTGAGGGGCGCCAAAATGGGTTTTGGTGGGATTTTATTGATGAAAGGGTACATCACCAAGCGCTATCTAGTAACGGTAAATAAAAAAAAAAAAAAATAAAAATAATTTAAAAAAGCTTTAATTTCATTTCAAAAAATAAAAAAAATTTTGTAAGTACTTTTAATCTTGAGCGGGCCAGAGGTGTAGTTAAAGGGGGGGGGGGGCAGAGAGGGGACCGATGTCCCTAGGAGTCAGACTAGTGAGGGGCGCCAAAATGGGTTTTGGTGAGATTTTATTGATGAAAAGGTACATCACCAAGCGCTATCTAGTAACGGTCAACAGTTATTGGCACTCTGTGGAGTTAATGTTGTTACATGTAATATTTCGTGGCCTCCCCGTAAAGAAGCCGCGATAACTCAGGACAGACCCGTGCCGTGGAAAAGCGTCACCCGGGGCGAATCCTGAAATGTCGTCCTCAACATATAAATAAACGTGCAACCCGGGGTGAACCAGAAAAAATGACGATTTTTGGCGCCCCTTGTCTTCGTGAAGTGCTTTTGGGGGGATTTTATAGTTGAATTAACTGGTTACTATTAAAGGTCCTTAAGACTTTTTGTAGCACCACCCCCTTCCCCGATGTTGGCGCCCTGAACGTGTCTCATTCGCCCACTTCTCATGCCCTTGCCCGAGGATGACGTAGTGCATATTTTGGAGACAGCGGGGAAACCCCGGTGTCACAGTTTCTTTCCCGTGACGTCATGATTGTTAATAAATAAATTGATTTTGTTCGCGCTATTTTTGGGAGAGGAGGTGGTCGAAAGCTCATTGTGCGTACGAATATAGGGTGGGGGAGGGGTGGCCCAAATAGTTCGAACAACAGGGGGGGTGTGGGTGGCCCAAATAGTATTACAACAGGAGGGTACATGTCTTTAATGCTTCCATGAATCCCTTTATAACAGCCACAAATATATTTTTTCCAGAAGTTAGGACGAAGGAGATGCAGCCATTGTGATTTTATGCATGCAATTATAAATACCCCAGCATTTATTACAAGTCTAAGTTCAGTGAATCTCTGTAATACTTAACTTCAGAGGCGTAGCGAGGGTGTTTGGCGCCCGGGGACAAGATTCGCGCCCGGGGACAAGATCCATTTTAAAGCGCCCCCTTTTCTTTTTTTCAACTCTCAAACCCAATATTTTTACCAATAATATAATATCAAAGCACATTTTGGCGCCCCTAACTAGCTTGCGCCCGGGGACATCTGTCCCCCCTGCCCCAACCTCGCTACGCCTCTGCTTAACTTTCAATGATATTTATTGTATGCCACCCTCGTGGTTTCGTTGAGTCTTCTAGTAAATCAGCCACTGCGATTATGACCTTGAACAGGATCATGTGTTTGCGATCTAATTTATCCTCGGTATGACGCATGGTCGGATTAAGATGTTTGAGGCACAGCGGGCACAGTCATCACAGTTGCACATAGTTGTCTACTCATTGACCATATATGGTGATTTGAGTACCTCCGGGGCAGGGGGCCCATCAAGGCCAGTGGGCTCAAAGGATTGAGCATGCAGGACGATGACAATACCGATAACAAAGAAGGCGAAATACAACGTGGAACCAAATACATCTGCAAATTGAGTTACCGGAAATTGGTTTGAAAGAAATTTCGTCGACGGGAAATTGATCGGCGGAAGTTTGATCGAACGGCATTTTGATAGAATTTTTTTCTCTTCAGTTCGCACGATAAAATTTTCGTCAAATTTCTTTTTGAACGCACTATAATGTATAGTAAAACAAAATAATGCGTTCACATTTTTGCGATCAAAATTCCGTTCGATCAAACTTCCGTCGATCAATTTTACGTCGACGAAATTTCTTTCAAACAAATTCCCGGATACGCCTACAATGCCTGCCTAATTTTAAAAGAAAGAAAGGAAACGAAAACCATAATTGAAAACGCGTTTATTTAGCTATTCGGCCATGATTTCTAAGATAACTCAGCACTACAACTCACCTGACGCACCCGGGCAGAAGTATAAAATCTTAAACGCATTTTTGTGACGTCTTAAGATCTGGTATGTCGCATCAGCAACTTTAAAGAAAATCATTTAAAAATGAAAAAAAAAAAAAGTTTACAGAAATTAAATGTTAATAGTTGTATATCAGTTTAAGTAATTATTACAAAAAACAACAACAAAACAACAGTACTATTTAGTAACAACGAAACACACAAAATCACACATTTCTATGTTACTCGTAGATTAAGTGTCCATTGACGCGAAACTAAATTCAAGTATGCGCAAAAATAAATCATTGCATTTTGAATATATAAAAAGTTTTCTTAGGAGGGCTCATTTAGTATCCCCCATACATGGGCGCCCGCCGGGGGGGGGGGTAAGGGGGGGGCTCCCCCCCTTCCCTGGNGGTGCGCACGGGGCCCTGTGATTGCGCTTCTCACCTTCAGAACTCCAGGTATCGCCTCCAGCTAAGTCAACAAGCTAAAGCCCAGCATGAGGAAAGAAATAATATTTCGGGGTCGCAACTTAATCTTCCTGTTATTCGTTTTTTAAACCTCAGGATGCCCCCCCCGGCCGCACTTTGGCTTTGGAGTCTTCGCCGTCATTTGATTTCTTTCTCTCTGTTCCCCCTCCCCCCAACTTTTTTTCATTGCGGGGTGATCTAACGCATATGAAATTTACGGCGCTATTTCAAGGTACGTTATTTCCAGACTTCACTGTGCAAAAAAGTACTATATTATATTATTATCTGTAGAGTTTTGAGGGGGGTGGTGTCAAACGCAAAGTGTGTCCTGGGCAGCGCAGTGTCACTCAATGTTGTTAAATATAATTCTTTTGCTTTATTTTTACATATTGATTAGTTAGAGGGTCTACTTAATTTGTGTGTGTGTGTGTCTTGTTTGAACCAAACATTCAAACTTAAGTCCGTATCTAACAACAATTGGCCCCAATCAATTTCTTATTTAACGAATATAACACTGAATGGCATTCATTATGTCCGTGACTTCCCATCTTTCAGTGAGATGATAGCAAAGAGCATTTTTTTTAAAGCAGCCTGCACAGACTCAAAATGTAAGGCGGAACGTCCTACTTTAGGAAAAACTTGTGCGGGTCAAAAGAAAATAGGAGGGGGGAAAAGCTCCCGGTATTTAAGAAAATAAAAAGACTAAAAAAATATTTTTTTACTTCGCGCACCGCAAAGTAGGTGCTGGCGGGCCGGATGTTGTGCAGGCTTGCTCTATATGCATATTATTAATTATTAATTAAATATGTTGCAAGCAAAAGTGACAGATTAGAAACATTAGTGATTGAATCCTTACGTTGGAAAGAAGGGACTTCATGTTAAAATCCTTTATTTAAATTCACCTTTGTTTGTGGGTGGCTGGCAAAACCAACGTATGAGGCTTTTACAGCGTTCTCATTTTCTTGGTTTGCAGATGAGAAAAAAGTGGTTAGGTTAGAGCCATTTGATAATCTCTGGACAGAGAAAAAATAACAACTCCAAACTAACATCTTTTTTCTTTTATGCATGGAATTTTTTGCTTGTAAATTGCGGTACAGTAAAGAAGATGCCATACTGCTACTACGTTTTGACAACATCTTTCCACAAACAGCACACATTGATTTCTGACAATAAACTTCTTTTGTCTATGAAAATCCACATCTCAGGTATTCGATAGAATAATCTCGCATCTTAAGTGGGGCACTGATGCCTTGGGAGCACTGATGCCTTGGGAGCACTGATGCATTGCGAGCACTGATGCTTTGGGAGCAATCATCACTTCAAAGTACTGGCAACAGTTGAATCAGCACTTCAAAGTACTGTCAACGGTTGAATCACCACTTCAAAATACTGGCAACTGTTGAATCCGTCACAGCTATCAGATTAGCTGCTCTTGTTTTGGGTCACGTCTCTTGTTTTTTGCAAAGTCATTTACCGACAGCAAGGCAGCAGTTGCTTACATTGGTCATCCCTGGTTGTTTTCTTTCCCCAGTACCCGACATATCTTGTAAGTGTTCCTCCATCCACCACCTTAGGAGGCGCACAATGGGAGATCAGCCACTTGGCACAACAGAAACCAATGGGCAGACGGATCACTGGTCGACCAAGAATGATCTGGATTGACCATTTGGAGAAGGGGTTGCCTCAGCTGGGGGACCGCGTATGGAGGCGAATAACCCCAGATCGTTCCGATTTGAAGGATGTCGTAGAGCAGACCAGGGCCCGCCATTTATGGGATCTAGTGCCACTGATGACGATGAAGTACCAAAGGTCAGATGTACTGGAAAGAAACCTTCTGCTCCTCAGCAATAATCCATAAAAGTAGCTCCACTAAAAATGGAAGAGATCCATTCAACAGTGTGAGTGTAGATTTTCATAACAGACAAGGCAACAAATAAATAAGTAAGTCACAAACATTTGAATTAGTACATTTTAATATTTTGTTAACTTTCATGAATTTTTGAAGTTACTGAATAGGTAAAGGTGGACCATTTTGATCTGGTCTTGCAAAACAGCTCTGTCCGTTTGTTTGAAATCCCTCTGGGGTTATTGATTTCTGTAGAGGACACATAATGGTACACACACATTTTCACTTGAGGACATAAACTGGTACACACACCTTTGGACTTGAGGACACACACTGGTACACACACATTTGGACTTGAGGACACACACTGGTATACACACATTTGGACTTGAGGACACACACTGGTTCACACACATTTGGACTTGAGGACACACACTGGTACACACACATTTGGACTTGAGGACACACACTGGTACACACACCTTTGGACTTGAGGACACACTGGTTCACACACATTTGGACTTGAGGACACACACTGGTTCACACACATTTGGACTTGAGGACACACACTGGTACACACACATTTGGACTTGAGGACACACTCTGGTACACACACCTTTGGACTTGAGGGCACACACTGGTACACACACCTTTAGACTTGAGGACACACACTAGTACACACACCTTTGGACTTTAGGAAACACACATTTGAACTTGAGGACACACACACTGGTACACACACATTTGGACTTGAGGACACACACTAGTACACACACATTTTGACTTTCATATTTTAGATTAGATGCATCTGGTCAATGGTTGGCAGTGTGGTCAAGAGTATTGACCCCAATAATGACATGCATAGCTGAAATTCTATGAAATCTACTTACTCATGGACCTCAGAATTTGGCTTGTCTACGAGAAGCTTTCCTTAGAGACACTGGCTGTGAGTGTACACCATTTTCTTTTGGGGACTTGGAACAGCTTTTTTATTCTCTCCTATACCCCTTGATAATAATTTTCATGCATGAGTAAAATGCCCCCCCCCCACCCCTTATTTTTTAAAATTCCCCTTTCCCCCACTCATCAATAAAAAAAGTATTTCAATTAGATTAGCTAAATAATCAAATGGAGGAGATAAGGCTAATACAATTTGAAGGCTTTTATTTTCAATTTTACAAGTTATTTCAGTTTATTTACAAATAACAAAGCTAAATTGAATCTGAAAAGTAAATATTGCAAAATAATATTTTGTGATAAATCCAGAAAAAATCAATTAAAGCTATCAAAATCAGAATTTAACAACAAATTATTAGTTTTATTTAAAATATGATGATGGATAAAATTTGTTTTTTAATGTGGTGTAAGAATACCAAACTATTTTTACATTTTCCGCCATCATCAATATAATTTTTGCGTACCCTAAAGTGGTCTGCCATGCACCCCCAGGGGTATGCATACCACTGATTGGAAACCACTGATTTAGTTGGAATGTCAAAAAATAAATAAATAAATAAAAGATCACCCAATACAATTTTGACAATACAACAGTCAGATTGTGATTTTGAACAATTCGCCTGCTAGAGAAGGAAATTAGCAAACTGATTATCTCCAAAACAGGATGTCTCATTGCGCTAGTGATTAAAATTTAGTCATTTGAAATTTCTGATAAAAAAATAAAGTCTGAAATGAAATGTTAACTCTAAGAAAGTTTTAAAAGTCTCCAGAGACAAATAATTCATGTGATGTCCAACAAGGGACACAAAATTGAAAAATAAATTTACCAACATTATAAACTTTATATTTGAATTATGACAGTTGATGAAGATTGCTTTTGTAAAATAACCTTATGTGTATGAACTACTTTTAGGCAAACATGATCGAAATTTTTCTGTAGAATGTTGGAACAGAGTGTAAATTTGTTGAAAACAGTTTATCACCTGAATGAAAAGTATCATGGAAATTCTCCAGCAAAATTGGACGTTCTAAGAAACAACTATGCTTTTGGCTGTTCCATTGGGGACAACTGATTTGATAACTGATTTGATCATTGATTTTATAACTGATTTATATAACGTAGAACTCTTTTTTTAAATATGGAAGTTAACTTTTGGTTTATTATATTGGTCCAGTAATAGAAACCAATAAATCATTATATTTTCCAGATGAAAATATTTGTTCAGTGTCAGTGAAATAGATTAGTAGAGATAGATGGGTGTGGAGAGTATGACAACATTGGATGAATGATTTAAAAGCAAATAAAATGCAAGTTATTTACATTGTGTAATATTTGAAAATCATCATCTGAAAAGATTTTAAAAAATATAATTATGATGGATAATTTTGTGAATTTGATGGCAGGACAAAGTGCCTAACACAGAGGTTTGGGAATGTGCTAACATGGGCAGCATGTTCTCCACTCTTAGTAAGAAGTGCCGTCAATAAAAAGGATGGAGGAGGGCTGTATTCCAGGATTAGGGTTGCATTCCAAAGATTCTGGTGTATCGAGAGTTGGCAGAGAGGGCAAGACTTATTGGATGGCAGCAGCTGCACTTTAAGGACGTTTGCTTAAGGAACATTAGGGAAGCCATCATAGAAATTGGTGAATGGGGGATCATCGCTGATCACCTTTCCAGGTGGTGAACAGCAGTTTACGTGGGAGTCAAACATGTAGAGGAGTCAAGATTCTCCTGAGAGAAGTGTAGCCATACTGCCCTCCCAATATCTGTCTCATAAGACATATGTTAAAAGTGTCAATAAGCTACTCCATGGTCTCATGAAGGTGGAAGATTGCCATATATAATATATAATATAATCTATACCTTTGATAATGGTAAAATTACTGGCTAAAGCTAGGATAAAATGGTAGAAAAAAAGAATTTCATAAGAATAAAATATCACATTAAAAAAGTTTTCATAAGAAATGAATGAAAACAAAAAAATCGACAGTTAACATAAATTTGGTCATTCAAAATCTATAAATCTGCATCTAAATTGAGCACAGCTCAAAATTTCCTGACTTCTTCCAACTCAGACTTCAATTCTTGCCAACAATTGCTTGCAACAGTTTCTTAAAGTTGAAGCTTGTGTCCTCTTTGATCCACCTCCACAGGGTCTTATTGGTCAGTTTGAGGAAACATTCTTTGATCTGGACCATGTCAATCTGCATGCAAGTAAGAATGACAAAATGTATGTTCCAATTTATTTTCTCATTTCAGAAGATTTGAAATAAAAAAAACTTAAAATAAAGAGACTAACTAGGATTGATAGTGCGAATTTAGGTTTGGGGGGGGGAGGCGGGGGGTGACAAACAGTAACGAAATAGTTAATATTTTAGGAACTGTGGAGCCAAGATAAATACTTACTTAAATGGGATAAGAAAAGGGGTTGGGGGGGGGGTCCTTTTTCATGATGAGGGGTAAAACTTCCTTGATGTTTTTGCATCCTAGTCTAATTAATTTATTTAAATCATGTTAATTTCTTCTTTCTCACATCAGGTTGTGTCTTTTAATTGAAGATTAAAGAAAGCGATGGGTAAAAATAGGACAGTCTTTTTGGGTGTTGGGTGTGCAAATAAACAAAGAGGAGCTACCTCATTGGTCTCACAAAGGTGAAGGGATGTTAAAAATTTCAAGTACCACATAGTTTTAATTAAAGTTAAAAGGTTAAATTTGTAAACAATAATTTGCAGAGTGAAGCAGTGGTAAAGCAATAGGGAAAATTAATAATTGAAATATTTTTAGTAGAGGACTTAAGAATAGGGAGAACTGTGTTAACATTTTTAATTTCCTTGTTGTCAATAGCTGAGTTAAAATTGCCATAGATGAGACAATAAAAAAACAGTAAAAAATAGGAAACTAACCTCAGACCTGGACACAATAATGCGAATCAGAGTTCGTTCATCGGTACCTAAGCCTTTCATAGAATCTCTCAGCTTCTCAGCAAAGAACATTGGACGGCTTCTTATATTCATTACTGAGGATAAGTATAGTATATTATTATCTATATATATATTCAATTAAACAATAATCAGCATTTCTTATTTTTTACTTTGATTACATACTTAATCTGACAACATTTGTTTAAAATTATTAAGCAGTTACAAAATATTCATTTGAAAATTTGTTTACCAGGTAACTGAAGTCATGATGAGCTGAAACAATCTTAGTTATCAATTTCCAGAAGTTCAAGATTTTAATTAATGTCTTAAGACCAAGGATTTCAATTCCACATGACATTACATATTTATCCCCTTTTATCCCTCCCCGTTATTTCCACCTGCAGATGCATTGTAGAGCACAAAGATAAACATTATGTTATGCCCAAATTATTGGTCACATTCAGAATTGAAAAGGAAGAAAAAAAAACACCTTTGTATTATCATCACAAATTGATTTTTGCTTACCTATTGCTCTCAGACCTTTTCTGAAGTCACCAGAAGTTTCTCTATCCACACTGTTTAAAATGTCTCTCTGGGTAATCTAAAGGAAATAATAAATGTGCTGCTAAATATGACCCAGATATTTTATTCATTTTTTTTGTAATAAGAAATTGTAATATATGTAGGCCTATTTATATAAAAGATAGCAAATTTGTAACCCAAATTATATGGTAATTGCAATTCATTTCAATACTATATTTTTAGTACAAATTGTAAGTATTATAATAATTATTATTTCTTTTTAAAAAGCTATAAGTTAAATTAAAAAATATAATCAGCCAGATCCTATACTTGTTAGCCACTGACCTTGACATACTCATCCCAAGTTGCCCTCAGTTGGTAGTAGTCCCTTGCGGAAAAGATTCTATTGAAAGTTTCCTCATCTGTCCCCCATCTCGCCTCCCCTGCCTTGTACAGTTGTTGGGCCTCAACTTTAGCTTTTTCCTGATCACTTAGTTTGCTGTAGTTTACCTCAAACATGCCTGACATTCATATTTAAAGGGGCATAATATTTTGTTCTCCTTATATAACTGATCAATAAATAAAAGTACTGGTACTGAAACTATTGAGATGGCATAAGTAAACAACTGTCTAGGAAAAAATAAAATAAATTCAACACAATAAATATAGACCATACATGTTTGTAAAGTAGGGCATATAATATATATTTAAAAGTTATTTACTGTAAAAACTGAAGATACATTAAATATCAATTTAAAAAAAAAAATTATTTGATTTCATTTAACAAATCCAAAGAATTATTAAGTATCATAGATTCTCAAATTAATACAAATGAAAACAGGGATAAAAATTTGTTGGTCATCTAGATGGAAAATGTCCTAAATTTTCTGCGTTTTTCTAGTGAAATCTATGAGGCATTTTAGTGTTTCAAATAAACTTATTTTTACTTCATCTACTAGAATGTATATGAATAACATTGATCATATCTGTAACATACTTGGTTGAACCCTCAATCCCAAAGAAATTTCTTTTTTAACAATGTTGACAATATTCATGTATAAGAAAAAATAAAAAAATCACTGGCTTTGATGGATTTATCTCCCATACTAACCAGTTGGTTTGCCATCCTGAGGATTAATAATCTCTTGTACAGCTTTCTCCAGCCTGTCATGTGGAATCTCATAGCGCTTTCCCTATTAATCAGAGTTAAAAATATCATCATGAATGACTGTGGGGAAACTCATCAAGAAAGGTGAACATAAAATTTTTTTTTATAACTCTATAGTTAGTTTGAACAATGTTTATAAAAATGTTCAGCTATCTATTAGGTTAAAATTACAATAAAATACTTATTTAGGATAATATTTATATATTGTAATGAATAAAAGAAACCAAATACACCAACCATTGACGCTGAAATAAGGAGTCGCTTGAAATCTCCACTTGTGTCATCTCTGATGTCTTTTTCAAACTGGGTATCTTTGGCAACTCGGTTCTTGTGAACAACTGATTGTAAGGCATAATTAACAGATGTTAGCAAACAGCAGATGAAAGTCTAAAAATATCATCATTAATATTTCATCATTAGTGTATTGAGATAAGCTTGTCAATCAAATGCATACTTTCATTAAAAATGCTTTTGGAAAACTTTTTACTTCTGTTTACACAGACTCTCAAACAGACAGCTTTGGAGCTAAAATTACTCAATTGGCATTGCCAATAGATGATTTAAAAAAAAAATTATCTGACCTTTAGGATAAGCAGCTCTGATTTCCTTGATTTGGTCATTTGTCCTTGTCATTAGTATCTCCACCAGGGCCTGTTCATCTGTACCCAAACCCTACAAGAAAATTTTGGTAACCAGTTAATAATTAAGCGTTGTATATTTTTAAAAAATTAGTCATTAAAGCCACTGCTTTTTAAAATTTATATGAATATCTTACATTATTAGTTACCATGTACAGTAACACTTGGGCAGCGTAGGACAGGGGTGTCTACACGAGGAGGGGTGAAGAAGAAGTTACTTCCAATCTGAGTTCAATGGGGAAAAATCCCCCCCCCCCCTCCCCCAAACCATCTGCCTTTTGAATTTCTCCAGGTAAAAAAATTTAAAGATTTAAAAATTTTAATTTAATATGGGAAAGAAAACAGTACAGTTACTCAATATTTATTATTATTTATTTTTAATGGTGGTGGGGGGGAGATTTTTGTTAGAGAAAAATAATTATATTATAATGGTTGGGGGGGGGGGAATTTTTGTTAGAGAAAAATAATTATATTATAATTTTATGGCTTGAGATGGGGAGTGAATTTTGACCCACTAGCATAACCCTCTAGTATTGAACGACACATGTGTTGACAGCACAGCCAAGCAACTTCTCAATCAAAGGTGAATTTTAAGAATTATAACCTAAATAAAAGTTTTAGGACTCCTTCATTCATTTTTTAAAAAATGTGAAGAATTATTGTGCTATTAGCAAAATTGTAATAGTTTGCTTTCAATATTATTATTGAATTTTTAAACAATTTTCAAAGAACTCTCAAATTTAACACCAAAATAATGACTGACATGAACCATACATAGAATTTATAAAGTCCAAGGTCTTGGGGGTGCATCACTCTTTGCATGAATAGTGATTGTGGAGATTATTCAAAATATGACTTAGTGCCATTAATAAAAACCAAATTAGTAGCTTTCAAATTAAATGGCTGAAAAAATAGTTGATTTTATTGGCTTATAGGATTTTTTTCATTTTTGTACCGTACTATAGGAGGTTGGCATTTATAGTGTAAACAATAAACCCAAATATAGTCTCACTTAAAATGAATGAGCATAACAAGATATAACCCATTCAACCCCAGCTCTAGTTAAAAGATATGTCAGATTCTTGCTGATTTTAGATTAATGTTCAGAAAATTAGAGATTTTTTTAAAGTAGATATCTCTATTTAAATATTGTATTGGTAATTCACATTTTAAAAAAATGCTCTTACATAAATAGCCTCTTTGATGCACCAAGCATCATATTCAGCTGGGGAGACAAACAATGCCATCACCAGCTCCTTGTAGTCTCCACTTAGCTCACTTTTAATGTCATTGATAAGATCCTGCATGAATAGTAGAAGAAAAAAAAAAAACGTAATTCAGCCAGCTATTTGCTCATATTTCAAGTACTACATGTTGATTTTCATTAATGAATTAATCAAATCATGCATTTTAAACATTCTTTTATTGAACTGGGTTCTTTTCTTTTAATTGTAAATACATTGTGAATACTATTTGGCATTGGGAATTATAAATGGACCTACCCTTCCATAAAGGGTTTTAAACATATCTTTCAGTTCCTGCCGTTGTTGGTTACATCTGGTAGAGACCACATGAATAAGAGCATCATCATTGGTGCCTATAGAGTTAAAAATTATAAGGGAGAACATTTCCATAAAAATGTATTAAAATCACGTAACATGTTCTCACAAATTGTAAAATGTTATTTTAAACAACAGAAAAAAATGCCTGCATTGCAATATGCTGCCAACACCTAATATGTTAATATAACTTGTTTTTCAGCCTTCAATAGTTTCTACTCATTAATGTTTTATGTGTCTGTCAAGGTAACTGCAATAAATTATTTATAAAAATTATTAGTCCTACCTAAGCCTTTCATAGCGGCCCGTAGGTATTCACAATCACATTCTGGATCCCAGGGCTTGCCTGTCACATTCTGACCTCTGTTCTTAAGGTACCATTCAGCAACTGGGTCACCATTGTCATATTTCTTGAAAGGCTTTACTGTCCCTTCGGTCATGTCAAATGTACCTGATACTTTCTGACGGCGCATCAGCTCAACTACAAATACACGTTTCATTTCTTCTTTCAGCGTCTGTTTTATTTCTTCTTCAGATAGGCTCTGGTCATCAAGAAATAATGTTTTTGGGTGTCAAATAAAATTTAAATGTAAAAAAAAATTATATCATACATAGACATCTACAGATATTAATATAGTACATTGGATGCATGTGAGGAATTACATAATCTTAAAAAAGAAATTGCTACGTTTGTAAAATAAATGAATATATTTAAAATATCTTCATTAAGGATATGTAATTGCTATTTTTCAACAATAGGACATATCTAGTTGATAAATCAATAAAATTATCATCCATTTATATATAGATCATGCCGAGACTGAATAAGGAAACTGCTTTGAAGGAAAAATATTATAACTATAAATTTATTAAATAAAAATATGATGTATTTCATACATAAAAAACTGAGCTAAACAATTTGGTATATCAATTATGTACAAAATAAATTGCAGAAAAATAGTAAGCATATGTATTTTACAGTGACAAGATCTAAAAATAGCAAAAATATATTATTTACTAGGGCTTTTGAAGGCTGAACTGGTTCCGGGGTTTCAATCTTTGCTAAAATTTCTTCAGGTTTCTTCTCACTGATATTCTGTGAAGGCAATAAATAATAATTTTTTTTAACAACAAAGTAATAAAATTCAATATTTATTTACGGTACTTGCATTCTAGTCCCAAATATGGTCTAACCTGCTTCCCACATTTTTTATAACTAATTTATTTAGACTGAGCTGATAATTAGGTCATTAACAAATCATTAACCAATAGTCTTTGATATTGTAACTTGAAAGTCGACTAATTTATTACCAGATTTTTCTCAACTTACTGATCCATCTGAAGATTTAAATACATATTTTAGAAGCCTGTATAAAGATTAAATGAAGTTCTAAAGGTAATGTTTTAGAATATTTGTAATATAAAAATTTAGAGATCTGACTTTAAGTAAGGAGATATGTAAATCATTTATTCACTTACCTGACCTTGTCTGATCATTTCTTCCATTTTCTGATTAGGAAAATATATATCTCTAAATGAAAATTAAACTTAACAAAGATGACATCGAATGGAATTAGATAATTAAGCTAAATTTTAACAGCTTAAATATTTGTGATTCAAACTTACACAAATTCAAGATACCGGGTATTCAATTTTATTTTGTTAGCAAGCTAATGTAATTGAATTTCTCTAAGGGTCAGACCCTTAAAAACCAGTAATTCTAAAGTAAAGATTTCATTGAAAATACAAACCGTCATTAGTTCCAATTGCTTCTGCACCTGATACTGGTACAAGTGGGCATCCATACTTTTCAAGTAAGTAGATGTTGGCATGTCCATCACTTGAGGAGTCTGTGGTAAAATGATACAAATAAAATATTAACTGGTAAAACCTTTCAAGAATAACAATATTTGTTAATTAATAGTTAAGGTTGTTTAAGGATTATGAGAAGCAAGACCTTGATGAAATGCCCCTATTGTTAATGCATGCATAATTTTTGCCAAAAAAGGTGCCACTTACAGCATGATACTCTTGGTGAAACCCCTACAAAAAGCCAAAAATCTTAAAGACCGTTCATTAGATTGTAAATTATATATATAGGACTACATACAAAAACATATAAATGGATCTCTGCTGTGTACACTATTATCCTTCCCCATTGTGCAACACTGACACAATATTTTGTCATGCTAGAAGCACTGTAGACAGGGCAGCACATAACTTGGTGCTAGGTGACAAACGCCAGTGGCCTGTTGTTATCCAGATGGATCAGGATTTCCTTCCCACCTTTTCCAGTGTCTCATTTTCTTTTTTATGTATGTTTCATAATCATATGTTTATAACTTGCTGAAATATTTGCATTTTCTTTGATCTAGCACATAGAGAAACACCTTGTAGAATGGCTCTAAGAGGGGAAGGTTGCCCCTTCTGTACTCTTACAGAAATCATTACTGATTTAATTTAATATATATAACCCACATTTCAAGTACCGGTATAATAACACATAAATTAAGGATGTAAATAAACATGAATTGTTGAAAAGATTGCAGGTTCTTTATTTATGTCAATGTCTTACAATATTAATACATTCAAAAAGATAATTAATGAAGTGACTCATTTTATTTTTGAATGCATTGTCAAATAATTTTTCTCAGTTGAATATTTTAATGATAAGTGCTGCCAAATAAAAAAAACAACAAAAACACTTGGATTTTCTATAAGTAAATACCGGTATCTCAAATTAAGAATGACATGTATTTTTCAACCCCACAGGCTCAGTTTCTTGTTTACAATTTCTAATAGTTGTTCCAAAGATCTTGTTTACCTGCTGAGACATCTGCACGGATTGCTGATGTAGCTGTTGGACCACTGGGACTGTGTTGTATCCAGGGACAGTACCAGGTGGCTGGTAATAGCTATAGCCAGCAGTAGGAACTGCCACAATAAACAGTAGATAGATTACAATAGTAAAGATAGAATATATGAGTATATTAAGCTAAGATTTCACACATATCATTAACCAATATCATTAAAAGCATACTTGATTAGATTCATCCATAACTTAAAATTCTTTAAGTTCACAGAACTTATGTGGGCATGAAAACTTACTATTTTTCAGCATAATCATTCTTTAATTAAAAGTAAACATCTCTGAATACCGGTAACAAGGTAAAGCTTTTTTTCCAATGGCAATGACAGCAGTTTATCAAATTATCTACACTTTGATAATAATGAAGCAGATAATTAAACTACTATTTTATGACAAGTATAAATACTTATAAAATTTATTATTATGGTACCGGTATGTACAATCAGGCTCTTAACAAGTAAAAATAATTTTTAAAAAAAAATTTAATGTTTATAATTATTTTGAGACACCAGTTTTCTACCAATTTGAGGTAATGCAAAATTATTTGGGAATTACACACAATCACTTTTAAACAAAAAATGAATATTAAATGACATTACCTTAGATACATAATTTTTGCTCAACTGTTTTTATTTAATAGACTTTAACATGAAATTTGCAGATTAATGAGCACAGGTTTGCATAAAAATTATGGGAAATGAGAGGTTTTGATTTTTGTAAAAAGGAAAATAAATGAACACTTGAATGCTATCAAAGTAAAATAAACAATGTACCGTAATTAACATTGATTATGCCCTGAGGGGATTCAAAAATCAAAATAAACATTCATTTAAAAAAAATATGTTTAAAAATTAAAAATAATAATGAATTGGAAGTTGTAGCCAAAGCATACCTCATTATGGTTTCCTCTACATTTGCCAAAAAGTAGCTGTCCATTAGTGCATACAAGAAATTTATTTTTAAAGATGCCTAAAAATGACAAACCTTGGTACTGATTGACATTATAGGAAGTGTATGCATGCGTAGCCATGGGTGGTGGGGGCGGCCCTGAGTTTGGATACTGTGGAGGGTAGGATGAATCTCCTGGGTGGTAAGGAGGGTAGTTTGACTGCAAAGAAATTGGAAATAATTTTTTCATAAGATCACCCATTTGTAACAGAGTATATATTACATCAATGATATTTAAATTTGCTAATAAGAAAAAGGTACATTTTTGTATAGCATAAAATGGACTTCAGAAATGATGTATGATATAGAGGGCTCCTAGTTAAATAGGGTTAAAGCCTCTCTGTGCTATATTTCATGACTGAAATGAATATTCATGGGCTGAATGACAAGTGTTATCCAATCATTAGATAAATTAGTTATACAGATTAATGTAAGTTTGTTTGAGCCTGTGAGAGTGTCAGGGTATGTAAGTTGAGTGCGGTGGTGTTTGATCACAAGGAGAATCTAAAGAGTATGATCTATATTCAGTCTGTTGTTACAGTGTACTCTCGGGGATAGATATTCTATAGAGAGATATAGAACTCCCTGTAAAGGGGAACCAACCCATCCGTAACAGTGGAGGTCCATCCAGAATGTAATATTTCAAGAGGGATAGAAATGGAGAGAAAGTGTGAGCCAGCAGGTCTCAACATGTGAGAACCGTAACATCTCAACAGGTGCCACCCCAGACATAAGTGAGTAATTATAATCTACAGTACCGGTACCTGAGTAGAGGCCTACTGATTTTATACTTTATTTTTTTTCTTTATTGGCAACATCTAGAAGGGAACCCAAATCTTAGAAAACTTGCTTTCACTAGTTTCACACTCTCAACAAATTTTGTTCAATAGTACTGTGAATGTGAATACTAGTATACTAGTGTAGAATAAAAATTGTTTGTATATACATGGCATATTTAAATAGGTCGAAAATATGTTGAATGAACTCACCTGATAATACATGGCACTTTGATGAATGGTTGTTATTTCTTGGACCTATTATTATTTGAAATATTAATAATTAATATGTCAAATAATTTACAACTGAGTACAAAAAAATGTAAAAGACTTTACAGACATTATGTCAATTTGAACTGAATGTATGAATTTCATTACCTATAACTATAGTTTAATTGATTATATATTATTATATATATAATATATAGGTCAAGTGAGAATAGATAATTACATTCCACTCCACAAATAATATATATAATATAACACTAATAACACAAACAATATTAAAAATAAATCTAATTATATAAATAAATGTAAAGCTTTAATTAAGTGCTTTAAGATACTTAATTAATTAGTACACGGTATAGGTCTTGGCCTTCTTACTTTTCTGACTTCACTTCACTGAGGCTTATAATATAAATTATGATCCTGACTATGTACTATATAATATATAATATATAAATATAAGACAAGTAAAAGTAAAATTAATTAGTCGTAGTCCAAGAAGTAGTTGTGAAATTAGGACTGCAACATCTAAAAATAAAGTTTATTATATAAATTTACATAATGCACAAACTATGTCGCAATATTTGAACTAGCTGACGCCCACAGGAGAAACGATTTAAATTTAGTCTATTGAAAAAAGTAAACAAGGTTGACTTTAAGTGTTACATATCATTAACTGTCATGGTGATTGTAAACACACAAACCGGAAACACTCTCTCCTTGACGTCTCACGGAAAGGTCCGAACATCAGACAGGAATACTGTAAAATTGAAATTTAAGCCGAGTTCATGCCACGCAAAACAAAAAAAAAAAAAAAAAAAAAAAAAAAAAAAAAAAAAACATAAAAAAAAAAAAAAAAAAAAAAAAAAAAAAAACAAAAAAAAAACCCTTTGATAAACCAATCTATACATATTATACATGTATGTATATATATATGTGCATTTATATAAGTATGCAGAATTAATCATCAATTATAACTTAATTAGATCTAATGTTTGTAAAATTAATTAAGTCATAATAAATAGTCATAATAAATAATAGCATTGGACAACTTTAATTAAGAGGTGTCTATTAATAAATAATGGGAGCGAGTAGTCAATTGATGACGTTATGCCGTTATGCATCTAGGAATGGTGAAAAAGGGGGTTGGCAAAAATTGTTTGTAATCTTTGCTGAGGGTGTGTATTTTATTGATAAATTTGTGACGCTTAAAGTGAAAGGTGGTGGATAGGGTTCGGGGAATGGGGGGGGGGGTGGGGGGGTGGTGGTGTGTGTCCCTAAATCGTCCAAAAATTATGAATGGTCCCTGAGGTATGGCATAAGAGATTAACATTTTCAAAAACAGGTATAGGCTATTTATTAAAGACTTTCTCTCTACCAGCATTTCCATTTTGTGAAGCGGCATCTAGTGTGTATAACTGTGCAGCGTTATATTTAAAAAAAAAATGTTTTGTTTATACACACGCAATTTTAACTTAAGAATACTTGTGCAGTGTTCACCTGGTGAACGGCTGGAAAAGGGTGGGTTAGGGAGTGAGCGAGCTCCTAGATTAATGGGTCGAGGGAGGCGTGTTGTCACTGTCGTTGAAATGATCGTGGTGGACTGCGTCTGCTTCATAGGCCTAGAGTGCTCATCTACACTTCTGCACGGTCTTTCTTTTTATTACTATTATTGTGAATTAATTTAAATATATGTTAAAAGTTATAGAGAATTGGAGGGGCGGAAAACAGTCAATATAATTGGTCATTAGGCCTACTAAATGCAATAAATTCACCATAAGTTCAATTTGAGAAAATTTAAGGCCCGGCAACCTTGAGAGGGCGATATAAATTGGATTCAAGTTTCAGAAGTGATTATGATTGAAATAAGTAAGGCATTTTTGTTAGCTTTACTTACCCGGTATTATAAACATAGAGGAAGATATCGCTAGCATAATTCAGTGCATGCATTAGCGCCCTTGTAACCATAATAATTTCTAGACCTTTGTGTTAGCCCTCACATCTCACACTGGTTCTGTGTGTAACACTAACACAGTGTACATGCTACAAATTAAACACTGCCACGTGATTTCCTTTATGTTTATAGTAATTAAACATTATTACAATAATATAATTTTAATTGCCATTTAATTTGTATAACATGTACTTACACTCTATTCTTAGTCAGGTATATTTTTGTCACAACCTTTAATTACGGAGCTATTTAACGTGTTTATTGTTAGCTGTTTTGTTCAATGTGTTAGTCAGGACATACGTTGTTAACCTGTACTATTTTGTTTCTTTTCAAATATTGTATTATTGTCCTTTTTCTTTAGCTTTTTCTTAGGGATTTTTCTACATAGTAGACTTTTTCTTTAGCCCTTTTTTCTGAAGCGTTGGTCTCTAGTGTGCAAATGCAGCTATAGTCCTCGAGACCTGAATTTCTTCATTGTCTATTAGTAATAACTGTCAGCCTTGGTCCACCATCACCTAACACCACCACCTTGCTTTTGGGCGCGGCCAGCAGATATTTAAAAGTGTCAGACACACACGTACACCGACCTCCAATCCCGTTTTTACAGGACGTTTGGTCACCCTAATGTCGTCATTTTATTATTATTGTGATAGTTATTTGAAGTTAAAATGTGATAAATTTTAAGTTTTATAGTGATGTGTGCTTTAGGTTTAACTATAAATTAGTTCGAAAGCGTAGCTTACTTGGGGGAGGGGTCCGAGATTTATGACAGATTCATGACTATCATAATCAGTGTTTCCTTCAGACAGTTTCCTGGGGGGGGGGGGCGGGGGGCGGACGTCATTTCAGGCATTCGGATGGGCAGGGCCAGGGGTGTAGGTAGGGTTCGTCTTCCTAGGTGTCACTTTCTTGCTTTATATGGAGGGGCGACATTTTAGGCCAACTGTGAATTACTATCATAATCAGTGTTTCCTTCAGACAGTTTCCTGGGGGGGGGGGGCGGGGGGCGGACGTCATTTCAGGCATTCGGATGGGCAGTGCCAGTGGTGTAGGTAGGGTTCGTCTTCCTAGGTGTCACTTTCTTTCTTTATATGGAGGGGCGACATTTTAGGACAACTGTGAATTGTATTGTATCGTGCGAGTGCAGAACAAAATCTTGGTTCGCCCATGGCGGCTATACACTAGCTACGCCACTAAACAGTGTATCTATCAGCAGAATTGGCGAACTATGGGCCAGCTATAGTCTCTAGTAGTACTGACAGGTAAATAATGTTAGCTTCCACAAGGCTCATCAACATGACATGTATGTGATGTTAGTTTCCATCCAAAAGACTCATCAATTTCACAATAGCATAAGTATGAAAAATCTTTTCAAACAGCTGTTCAATGTCTACTCATGAAGAAAATTAGTAATTCGAACAAACAAATTTTAATGCCATTAAAATTTCTGTATTCAGTGTATCATTTTGGACACAAAATTTGACAAAGTTGATGTAACTTTATGATATTTTTGCATCAGTATATGTATAAGTATTTGTATTTGAAAAATTCATTTGCTGCACACTGATCCTACTTCTAAGCTAAGTGATATTTTTTACTTTTTTTTTTTTTCTGTTTTTACGGCTGTTTTGTTTGCTGACGAAGGCTTCCTGCCGACACATTCGTTGTTTTGTTGCGTTCCTTTTTCAGGTTTAACCCTACTTTGTTTTACTCATTTTACATAAGTATATGTATATATAGAAATATAAAAATGCTAAAAGTTGTAATACTTTTATATTATATATAATATATAAAGGGTTCAAGGGAAAAACCAGTGATGTTAGTTTTTCAAAATTTCTATGTTATCTCCCTTGTGGCTACATTCCATTTAATAGAATAATAATATGGTACATAGGTCCAACTGAAAAAGCAGCGTAGTCAATAAATAAATACGTAGACATCTTGATATTTTCATACTTTATGAAGAATTTTCAAACTTTAAATTCAATTTTCTCAAAACTCTCAAAACCTGACATCACTGGTTTTTCCCTTAAGCCCTTCACATTTATATATATATTTATGACCTTAAGTACTAAAAGAATATTATTAATTAACAATTAGGAAATTATTTCAAATATATAAATTACGTGGGAGAAGAAGTTAACCATAAAGTCAATTTTTCAAAGAAGATAATTTTTTTAAGCATTTATAACAACAAATGGCAACTGAATGAACAAAGTTGATACTAGATTTTAAAAGAAATGTAAGCAGAGCTAAAATTAACAAATAAATGTATTTTAATGGACCTTCAAATTTTTAGAAATAGCATTGACCAAAATGATTTAAACTTAAAATCAAAATATATAGACACAAAAAAAAATACTCATTTGGACTTTCTTTCAAAACTTGATATTAAGCGAACAAGTTCAAAACCAATCAGTTAATTTTCAAAATATTACACAATTATTTGAAAAGTTTAAAAACACATAAAACACTTGTAATGGAACATTCAACACATTAAAAATTCTTATAGTATATTTCCAAGTGATTCAAAATAATTACAACAAGCTTTTACGAGATTTCAAAATTATCATAAATAACTTTCAACAGATTCATAATTTATCATAACAAACTCTCAACAGATTTCAGTTCCGTTGCAGAAAGTGGAGACAGATTAAATCCCTTGAGATCTTCTTTCTTTTCAAGGTCACGTAGCTTACTTACTTTAGGCTTAAGCGCTGACCGGACATTATTAATTTCCTTCTCGAGTTCATCAAAATCTGAAATTTAAATATCATGAGAAAAATGTTAAAGAATGGAATTTTGTACAAAAAACATCAACAAACTTGTTCTATTTGATTTTCGATACTTACATTCAATATTTTTAAAAAATATTTCAAAATATGATTAAGAAAACGAAACAAGATCTGATAACTTGTTATGTTGTGGTTACAAATAAATAATAATTATATGAATACCTTTTGACAACATGTTTATTGCTTTTGTCTTTTCTATCTTCAAAAACATTTTTCCAGCACATAGCCAAGTCTTATCAGCAGATTTATCCTTTTGTAATGCCCTGCACAAATCCAAATCAATATTAAATAGGTCTATTAATACTAGGATCAAAATAACATAAAAGACAAGTCGCCCTTGTTTTCACTTCATATTATTTTAAATGGTTAATAATTTTTTATTATAATCAATGATGTACTTGAAAAAAAATAAAATACATAATTATCACTGGTTCCCAAAGTTCGTGATTATCCCATTAAAGTGTTATCAGGTCATGAGTGTGTGGTGTAAAGAATATCAGTTATGCATAAATATATGTTTGTAATTATAGCTTTACAACATACTGTACAAATCAAAGTGTTTGGATGTTTTTAGAAAGAAAAGATGGATATGCCCTAACCAGACCAAAAAATAAATATAGAAAAAGCACCATTATTCTGTCCATGGTTCAAGTCTAATGCTCTCTTTTAATAACTTAGCCAAATTACATTCCTGAAAACATAAGTTAACTTCAGGTAATTTGCTAGTATTATTTGAAGAAATGTGTCAGATTGCCTAAAAGCAATCTTTTGTTACCGTACCTATAAGACATTAGAGGATATTTAGTGCTAAAGGTGGAGTTTCTCCTATGTTCAAGGGGGAAACAATTTGAGAAAAACTGATAAATAATATTTATAATTACTTAAAATTAGAAGGGGGATAACTTTATTAATAAATTTCAAACCACCCCACAGCCCACCAAACACTAATTAATTTTTAAAAATGCATTATTAAACATACCTGATTGCCTCTCTGGTTTTGTTTCTCTGTCTGTCTAAATCAATAATCTCCCTGCGATCAGCTAAAATTTCTTCAGCAACTCCTTCAATTTGGATGATGTAGTCAAGCAACTGGTTTGTGCCTTCTGTTAGTACCGTTACTCCGGTCATGTCTGTCTTTAAATCTCAGTCAGCAGTTTTGCCTTTGAAATGCAAAAATGAGTTGTTCATTTTGTATAAAGAATATCCTACATGGGTAGACAGAGACATTTTTTGAAGTTGCAAGGTCCTTGGTAAGTTATTCTCTTGTTTAACCCTTTCTGCCACAACTGGGGGTAATACAGAAGGAGACAGACATTGATTGCTGATATCTCAAGTTTCCTTTTAATAATCTATCTTATACTCTACCTAATCCACAAGGTAGATGGAATGAACACCTTGGTGGATGCAATTTTATAAAGCATGCAAAAGTGACTTATTTTTTGGGGTTTAAATTTTTTTTCTACAGTCCCTAGTAAATGGGTGTAACACACCCGTGCATAATTTAATAGAAGCACAAACCTTCTAAACTGGCTTGTGATCATTTTTTTTGGTTGTTGATTATTTGAGTCTGTAATTCATGCCATAAAATAGATTTTAAATTTGGACAATAAATAAATATTCTGACTGGATTTGGGTACCAGGGTACCGACAATAATAACATATATTCAACTTGACAAACCATTTCAAAGCAGAACAGTCATATGTACACATAGAAAATAAGGGCTTTGCAGTTCAGCTTGCACAGTTCTTACATAAAAGAACAGAATGTTTCTATGCAAATATGTTTGATAAACTTGCTGAGTTGAAGTGGTTTGGGCAGCTGTTTGCAGTGTTTGTAAAGAATTCAAAACACTGTTGATGTTCTGCCTCACAATATCTTGATGCGTCGGGACGGATTGTCTCTAATTGTGGAGGGGTGAGGAAATGTGCAACATCAACATTGACTGTTTGTTGTCTTCATGAGATAGTGACTTAGTTCCATATTTATATTAAATGCCACTCTCGCTACAATTGATGCCAAGTCAACAATATTGAAAAAAAACAACCAAAGACCATCTTTTACTTTTAGTTTTTTGCATACACCTTCACCTTCAAGGCAAATATGCCTCCTTTAATTTTGAGAGCACAATCTCTGGTTTCTTGCATTCAGTTCCACTATCTATATCTGGATGATTGTGTATTGTGTTCATGAGCAACACATTTTTTTTTGCTTTGAGCTACGATATTTGAAATGGTTGTTTCTAGTCTGGAAAAAACACTGATTTGTTGAGAGGCAGAGCCTTCTTTTGCTCGAAACCCTTGGGTAGGAACATCTTGTTACATTTCACTGTTCTAACTAGGGTGAGTCTGTTCTTGGCCAGTTGGTCTGAAAATGGTAGGGGAATGAAATAACAGTCTGTTCGGAAATTGCTGCCACTTCCATGGAAGTCTGTTGTGAGAGAAATCACAGTCTCTGGCGATATTCCAACATTTCTCTTTGCTGGCAGGGCACTTGCATTTTCTTTGTCGAGATATGGGCAGCCTCTCAGAGGATAGTTTGAAGATGATTTACAGACCCAGAAGATTTTTATTCCATATTTGTCTGGCTTGCTTGGCATATATTGAATAAATCTGCACAGACCTCTGAAACCAACCATTGCTCACCTACGGTGATGTTCTCTCCAGGAACAAAGTACCTTGCCAAATTACCCAGGAATGCTTCTCATACATTTCTTATGGGAGCAAAAATGTCACTAGCCAGAAATGATTGATCTAGTATCCTTGTTGTCAAAACCAATATGAATCAGAAGTTTGCTGAACCTCTTTATTGAAAATGCTGCTGTAAAAAGAGGATTTCATTCAACAGGGCTGAATAAAAACTCCACTGAAATGCTGTTGAGGTGAAGAGCTCCAGAGTAAAGCAAGCAGCCAATAAAAGCTTTCATTTAGATCATATCAGTCCCTTGCAATTTGTTTCCTTTTACTTTCTTGCCTTCCCTGTTGATGCAGTCTGCTATTGTTTGTATCATTTTTTAATTAATGTACAGAAGAATTATTTCAGTGGGAGATACTACACAATCTGTGAAGGGAGTTGGGTTTCAAGGCAACTAAATCATGCCACTTACAACTTAGTACAAAAGAATATAACATAAAGAGAGCCATTTAGTGTGATATAAGACAATGTGTGTAACCCACCCACTTGCTAGGAATCACCAGAAACATTTTTTGCCATTATAATAAATAAGTGTCTTGGTGTGCTACACCTGGTCGTGAGGGACAGGGTATACAATATGTTGCGGCGGAAAAGGTTAAATCAAGACTCTGCAGCGAGCAGTTAGATGCTTTCTTTACCAAGTTATACTGCTCAGAAAGGTACTTAGAAAGGAGGCAAGAAGAGTCCATCTAAAAAAAAATGATTTAGCACCTAAGTCTGATTAGATGGAACCACAGCACAATTATCAAACATCTAAATTTAGAACAGATTTTTGCTAGAAATATTTGTAAGGGGATTAATAATTCTCCAGTCCAACAAGTTGGAGGAAGTTTCAAGTATTTAAGAATGCAGTACATTAAGTGTGTAGGAAGCAGGAAAATAGGGTGGAGGGAGGCGGTAAGGGAGGCGGTTTGCCTCACTGCCTCTGGTGGAACTTTTTGGTGGGGGTGGTCTTTTATGATCCACTGTATATCAGTATTTCTTAAAGTGCTTTTGCTGACCCGCATCAGTCATACCTTGGGTTACCAGCTGCCACAATATGAATATCTAGGGTGAAATAATTGACAAAACTCAGAGGTTTCTCAAAAATAAATTATGGATTTCACAGATTTTTAGGTGACATTTGGTTTTATGAGCACTGTAAATATGCTATTTTAAATTATAGACCGTCACAATTTCAGGACAATTATTCAATTGCAGAAAAACTGTCAAAACCATAAATTACAAAAGACAGGGTACCAATAGTATAAATTGACCGTAATAGTAATAACTTATAGTAAATAGGCCCTTCCATCGTGGCAAATTCCTGGATTTATTTGTTTTAAGAAATGTTTTTTTTTTAAAAACAAAGGGATGCAGTCCTTTTGTCAGAATGATAACATTACTAAACTCTATTATTATCTTATTTTTTATTATCTATACTTATTAAAACTTATTACTTAGTTATAAAAAATTGGTCACTCTTGTCAACTTGTTTGTTTATTCCATTTGATTTGACTAAATTTAGACTAAAAGTCTAGTTTAACCCTCTGGGGACGTAAGGACCGATCTATCGGCCCAAGGTGGACTAGCGAGAAAGACAAAAGACCGAACCATGGGCCCGATAAATCGAGCCTAGAGATTGGCTGGCTTGGCGTTGTACCAGCGAATCAAATTTATTTGTACTGTTCCTGCACATCCCGTGATTGTAATGGCAGCGTTCGTAGATAGTGAACTAAATTTATTTGTGTGCAGGAATTTTTTTGTGTGTGTATAGTTATATCATGAAATTCGAAACATGTCTGACAGTGACTTTGATCAAATTGTGCTTAGTGATTCTGATTTCTCGCTGCCTAGCAGTGAATCTGAAACTAATGAAAACAACCAGGAAAGTAACGAAGACAATCAAAATGATAATGTTTACGATAATGTTGTGAATTCTTGGTTTAGGATTAGGGGTTCTGAATTGGATAGAGAAAAAATAGAGCCGATAAATATGCCTCATGGCTAAGCACCCCAGTTGAGTACTATACTTTATGCTAATTTTTACACAAAATATCATTTAAATGTTTGTGAGAGAGACTAATAATAACTAATAAGTAAGCAGATAACTTTCTCGGTAACACCCAGCTAAAAAAAACAACATAATTGGGTGCAAACCGAAAAGTACCCCAGGGGCAGGAAAATGAGTAGTGCTCTGTGCCAGGAGTGTCCCTTATTTCCCAAAACAAATGTGTTAGGATCTATTCATGCTTCATCAAAAAAATTTACACAGGTAAGTCATGTTTATTCTCAGTTTAACAAAAAATTCCACACATAAATTATGCAAATCAGGAAAGTTCATTTGCATAAAAGTGAATGTTGAGATTTCAGTTTGATTTATAAATATTGTATTAGCTTATTCAATTTTCTACAAGAATATATATCTAGTTTGATATATGTAAATAGTTTCTTTTTTATAAATTTTTTTGCAATGTGAGTGCCAAGTTCGTAAAAAGTGCTCCGTTTTTTGGCACAGACACCCCGAAAAGGCTCCGTCCCCAAATTGAATTGGATTTAAATAAAAATAAAACATTCATATACTGGCTAATGTAGAGAATTGGTGCCATTAGCCTTCATTAGGGATACATACAAAATACTTACTCATTTAAGTGAGCTACACCTTTTAATTTAACAATATTTTAACTTCAATAAGTTTGCACGCAGTTTTAATTATGAATCGAGTGAGTCTAAGGATGTTATTGAACTTGGCGTTCATCAACTTCCACTTTCGGTTTTAATATTATTGTCCAGGATTTTCTTAATGTAGACAGACTCATTAAGACATTCCTTTCGTGAAATATATTTACTTCATTTAAATATATAGACCTAGTGAAAATGTTAAAAAATACGGGTATTATTGTTTTAAAAGTATTGCATACAATTTAAAAAAAAAAAAAATTTAATTAGTGCCAATAATAATTATTGTATTAAAATTTATATTTAAAAAGAAATTTTAGAGTACATCCCGGCAAAAATAAAATTATACAGAGTATTTGCCCTTCTGTTTTGCTTTTGACGAAAAAAGGCATGGCGTCTTTTATTGTTGTTAAGAAAGAAGGTATTCTAATGACTACATTTAAATTTACATAGCGTTAATAGAACACTACTCACAAAACTATAACAAAGGGCGTATTAATAAAATTTAATCATATAACTAAATAAATAGTGAATATTAAAGAATCTGTTTCTAAATTTTAATAAATCAGGCCAAGTTCTGTTGCTGTTGATTCTAAAAAAACTTGCAAAAATTATTAATTTAATTTGGTTAATTTAGACATTTCACGCTATGACGTATGTCTGACACGGCCGCCACATTGGTTACTGTGACCATGTCCGTGTGAAACGTCAAAATGTGGATTGTCTAAAGAAACTATGACCATATTATATAGGCCTAAGGTAAATGAATGATGGCTCCATGCGCCACTCCTCCTTTTCCATGACTGCCATCTAGGTTGCCATGATGGAAGACGTGTCATTAGCAACCAAGATGGTGGCCGTGGACAAAAGTAGTGCAAACACATGTCTGCTAAAATGGGAAGGGGAAAGAGAGAATGTGCTATTTTAACTACTTACAGTACAGAGAAAAACGAAAATAGGAACAACACGTTAAAATTTACAAAGTGTCTACATGTCCGGCAACTGGATGAATAAGTTCTCGATATATTCATCTGGCAACCACGTCCCATGACCACTGTAACAAAATTGCGTGAGATGTTTGTCAATCAGCCTTGTCTATTGACAGCTAATAATCTATAATTAGATAGTAGTCGGACGTATATCTCCCGCACTATTTGTCCGGCGACCAAGCCACATGACCGCCGTAACAAAGTGGCGAGAGATATCTTGTCGGGCAGCCTTGTCACGTGACTGCGAATGATTCAAAACTATTATTAATTTTAAAATCTATTTCTCTACCAAGTAATGTACTGAGTATCTTGAATGCAAATAATAGAAAAAAAACTTAAGTCAAGTGAAAGTGGCTTGTAAACATTTTTGTTTAGTTTGTTATTTGAGTTTGTGTACCAGTAATCCATAAAATAAATTAGGCAGGGGCCAGTGTGGAGTAGGCAACCAATAAAAGTAAAAGATTTCATTTTAAATTGTTTAAATTGCTACAAAATATTTAAAAACTTGTCATGAAACTACTGTTGCTGATGAACATGATAATATAAATATAGTATAAAATATTTTTAATTAAAATGGGAAGAAAAAAAAAAGATCCAATCCCCGGTATTGATCCTCAAATCATAATATCGTCAAGCGACCACTCTACCATTAGACCACGCAAGATTCACCAAACTGCACTTCGTTCGGAATTATAAAAACTACTAGCCGTCCGGCGGTCATGTGAAATGCCATTGGACGTATATCTTGCGCACTATTTGTCCGGCGCGACGGACGTGTAGACACTTCGAATAATCTATAATAAAAATGGAGCCGGAGATGCATGTTGGCGACAAGTTTACTTCATTTCAACAAATAAGGGTTGGGGGGGGGGTGGGTGGGAGCGATGCATACTAAAAGGAAGAAACACTGAGAGCGAGAGAGAAAAAGATAAAAATGATAGTGAGGGTGATAAATAATTAAAGCGGGGAGGTCGATAGTTCACAAAGAAAAAGACCCTACATCTTAATATAGGGCCAATATAGTTGGCTACTGGGGTAGCCTACTTCTCATGCAATATTAATAGCCTTTTTGTGTCGTAGGTCTATTTAAAGTCAACAGGCATGTATTGGTACTATTGTGTTTGATTCATATTTTAAATTTAGGCTACTAGGTGGAGCTTTATAAGATATTTAAACCAGAGGCGTAGATAAGGGAGCGGGGGCAGATGTCCCTGAGCGCCAGACTAGTTAGGGATGCCAAAATGTGCTTTAATTAATATTATTTTATTGATGAAAATAATTGGTTTCAGAGTTTTAAAAATAAGGGGGGGTAGGGGCGCACTTTAAAATGAATCTTGTCTCCAAGCGGCAAACACCCTAGCTACGCCTCTGATTAAACCAAGATAACAGACTTTTTTTTGAAGAGTCGGATTCAAATAGACCAGTAGCCTATATAGTTATATGGACCTACTAGTATTAAATTAGTTTTAATTCAAAGTCAAAAGCTTATGATACACTTTATGTATCTCAAAGCATTTGAAAATACAGTGGAACCTCTCATAACGAGTTTAATTCGTTCCAGACTCTTACTCATTAAGCGAAACACTCGTTAAACGAAACAATTTTTCCCATACAAATCAATGTATAATACGATAATGCGTTCCATGCTGAAAAAAAACAAATTTTTCAAAAAATTTTATTAACATTTATTCAAATAAAATTACTTATGAATTGTTAAGGAGTGTAACAACTTGGAATACAATTTATATTTGAAAAAAAGACTTAAATAAAAATATGAATTTATGACAAATAATTAAGCCTTTTTAACCAGAAAACTATCTAAAGACATTTGTTTTTTCGACGCTTCAAAATTTGACGAAAATATGTCACAGCATTATCATTGAATAAATTTGTAGCACGAATAGGAACGCTCACACCTTATTCTCGCTTTTCAATGGTTTTACGTTTCATTTCAACAGTTATTTTTTCCCTTTTATGATTGTCTTCTTGTGGTTTTTTTTTTTAGAAGACATTTTAGCATAGGTTATTACACTTTGCTCATAAAAAAATTACGAATACTGTCTGAATACAAAATTTGTAAAAACTGGTAATCACACATGAAAACAATTTAATAACAGACCGAGTGCTAAACACAGACTAATGCAATGGTTCTCAACCTTCCTAGTGCCGCGACCCTTTAATACAGTTTCTGGTGTCTTGGCAACCCCCCAGCAACCTAATTATTTTCGTTGCTACTTCATAGTTGTTAGAATATGTGTTTTCAGATAGTCTAAGGCGACCCCTGGGAAAGGGCCGCGCTACCCCCAAAGGGGTCACGACCCACAGATTGAGAACCGCTGGAGCAATGCATCGGCGCGGAAGCCCCGGCTCACAAATGAATGTCAGGAAAAAGGGACTTCCCTTTTCTGCGTAACTCGTTATGCGAAATATCGCTCGTTAAGGGAGCAACTTCTTCACATTCTTTTTTGCACGTTATGAATTACTCGTTATGAGAGGTGCTTGTAGTGAGAGGTTCCACTGTATTACCATATTCAGCATTTATTTATTATCTAGGGATCGGCTGACTAATATTTATATACAATATTGGAATATCATATGCAATGCAACTATTTAATTATCTTCGTGTGTCCCCCCCTCCCCCCTAAAATCGTGCAAAAACACAGGCCTGAATTTGGGGAGAGGGCTTATTAATATAAAAAAAGACTACAGTTAACCCTTGTAAGAATTCACGTTTAAACAAAGGGGAGTTATTCTTCTTAAATCATGAGACGTAAAGCTTAAATTGAAATTTTGTTTTAGTGAATTTAATTAGTTCTCCAAACACCAACAATTATTTTCATCCCATTCCTGTGGCAGTACAGCCCATGCAGGGCTTTGGCCTGCCTCACCACATGAAGGCAGTTATTTTATTTAGTTTACTGTTGGTTCTTTTGTCTAGTCAATGACCGTTATGTAGTTTTTATTGGGTTGGCATAACTGGTTGTTCATATTTACTAAATGACCTCGAGGCCATTCACAAATGAGTGGGGGTAAAAAAATTGGTTTAAGTAGTGTCCACATAAGGACATTTAATTATTCAAAAATTAATATTTCTTAATATATGAATATTTTAGAAATGATATATTTAGAAGCATATTTAAGGACAGGAATTTTGGCGAAAAAAAGTTTGCTGAAAATGTCGCCCTTCCATATAAAAAAAAGGTACTACCCGGCACCCTCTGCAACCCACTTCCTAAGCCACTGTTTGCATGATTTCTCACCTCTATCATACTATATCAATTTTTTAGTGCTTGGCATTTGATTTTTTTCAATTATAACTCAGTCAGTCACATGGCATGAACTTTTCTTTTTTCAGACCTTGAAAAGAAACAAAATGTTGAACCCTGTCACACACTAAGATGTCTTACTTCTGAACTGGGATGTCTAACTCGCCAGGATGGCTCTGTAAGCTTGTCCCAAGGTGATACAACTTCCCTGGCTGTGGTTTATGGACCTGCTGAAGTTAGAATATCCCGTGAACTTATAGACAGAGCCACTGTTGAGCTTGTGTACAAGCCTAAAGTTGGACTGCCACGGCCTGCTGACAGAAAACGTGAGCAAATTATGAAAAGTATTTTTGAAGCAACCATCATCACAAATCTTCATCCACGATCCTCCATTACAATCATACTTCAAGAAACGGAGGATTTAGGTTCCAATCTAGCTTGCTGCATCAATGCGGCCTGTTTAGCATTGTTAGACGCTGCAGTGAATATGAGTTTTATGGTGGCTGCGGTTGCTGTCTCTGTGGCAGATGAAGGACAGATCAAGTTAGACCCTTCCAAAAATGATGAGGAGAAAGGTCGTGCCAGCATTACTTTTGTATTTGACAGTGTAGACCTAAATGTAGTTTCTATTGTGACATCAGGAAAATTTAGTCAAATCGAGTACAAGGCAGGCCTGGAGCTGGCTAGAGAGGCATCACAGAAGGTTTTCCAATTTTTCAAGGATTCAATGTCTAGAAAACTGATCAGATAATCAGCGCCCAAATGAAGAAAAAATTTTTTGGAAGATTATGATGAAAGTTTTAATTTGGATTACAAAAAAATCTTGCTTCATTTACTGAAGCTGATTATGAAAAGGGAGACAAAAATATCCTAAAAATGTTTTATTCAATAACTTAACAAAAAGTATGAGAGAATCTCATCATAGATGTGTGTTGGCTGGTGCAGGCTTTAATCTAAAACGAAAAAGGTGAATCATTTATATATAAGGGCTGTCATTCAGTCATTAAAAATGTTTGTTCTTTAATTGTGATGTGACACGTTTTTTCTTTAATTGTGATGTGACACGTTTGTTCTTTAATTGTGATGTGACCCGTTTGTTCTTTAATTGTGATGTGACAAGTTCGTTCTTTCATTGGGATGGGACAAGTTTGTTCTTTAATTGTGATGTTACAAGTTTGTTCTTTAATTGTGATGTGACAAGTTTATTATTTAATTGTGATGTTACAAGTTTGTTCTTTCATTGGGATATGACAAGTTTATTCTTTCATTGTGATGTGACAAGTTTGTTCTTTCATTGTGATGTTAGAAGTTTGTTCTTTAATTGTGATGTGACAAGTTTGTTCTTTCATTGTGATGTTACAAGTTTGTTCTTTAAGTGTCGTGTGAGCACAGCATACTAATAGTATTACTATAATTTTAGTACAATATGAAATTTTTTAATATATATTTGGTCAATGATTACAACAAGTTTGTTTGAATATAAATGATTCTTGTAGCCACTTTTCTTTATATTAAAGAGCTGGTAGCCATGAGAATGGTAAAAATTTTGACAAATATTTTTTTCTTTAAATCAGTGTTCTTTAGTTGTAGTTCTAGGTCCAAACAAGCCACTTTGTATTTATATTTGCAAACTCTGAACTGTGTGTGCAGTTGAAGTATATGGCATATAATTAAGCATAGTTGCTTGAACATGTTCAGATAAAGTAGAGTGCCTGCCTCATTTTTGTGAAATTACCATTAGAAAAAATAATTTATCTTGGCCAGTTTTTGTTGTAAAAAAACTCATTTTTAACATATATATTTCGCTTCTGTTCCAAAGTAAATGTTTTTCAGAAGGGCCCAATGTGAACTGTAACAATGAAATTTGCTTCTATTTTGAGAAAAATATTGATTCATTGAAACTAGTTTTATCTTTAAAAAAAACAACAAACAAATGAAAGGAAGTTCTCAATTTGAAATACCCGTACTGGTTGGGACTGGTATTTACTCTCTAAATGTTTAAGCCTGCATGTTAATTACTATTTAGCTGTTTTCTAACATCATTAAATGAAAGTCTCGTGTTTTGATTTTAGGACTATATCTATTTAAACATTCAGACATCAGCAAACAGACAAAAGGCAAGACTTCAACATGTTTTAGTTGTTGCATATATTGTTGTATTGCCAAGGTAGATACAAATAAATTGCTGTATAATAGAACGACTGTGTTTTCTCTCTAGTTTTACTGACTAGATGTTTTTTTAAGGAACAAAGTTTGTATATATATATATATACACACATTATTATTATTATATTATCTAGGTTTTAAATAATAAATACATTCTGAAAAATAATTACAAATATGCATGTAGATAATAAAGCAATACTGATTGTCATATCCTCATTGTTACACATCCATGGCATATGTTACTATAATATAATAGTTCATGTGCAACTTCAAATGCTTTACTTATGGTTACAACACAAGTAGCACAGATTTGTGTAGTCCTGTTGCCAATGTTTGATTTCTACAGTAGGGTAATTTACAAACTTATCAGATTTCCATATTCCTTTGAGTTGTTGTACAGGGTACCAGGTAATTGATGTAATCAACAATTTTAGAGTTACGTTTCCTTTGGGGGGGGGGGGGGGTAACATGGGGAGGGGACTTAGCATTGTTTTTCACAGCTGTACTATCCGGAGTGGTTCACAGCTCTGTCTGGAGTGGTTTACAGCTGTACTGTCTAAGAGTATTTCACAGCTGTACTGTCTAGGGTGATTCATAGCTTTACTGTCTATAGAGTATTTCACAGCTGTACTGTCTAGGGTGATTCACAGCTTTACTGTCTTAGAGTATTTCACAGCTGTAGTGTCTAGGGTGATTCACAGCTGTTATTCATAAAAAATATCATTTGCGTTATATTAAATCAAGTCTTATGATAATTCTGCAATTATAATACAAACTAACTGATATGCCACCGTACAACAAAACCTGGAGATACGGTGGAGCAAAAATTGTCTAGGATACTGCATAGCAATGACTATATACATACAGGAGTCTTGGGCTATGAAAGTCCTTGTCCTAGTGGTCACGTGTCTTAGACTTGGGCTATGAAAGTCCTTGTTCTAGTTGTCAAGTGTCTTAGACTTGGGCTATGAAAGTCCTTGTCCTAGTTGTCAAGTGTCTTAGACTTGGGCTATAAAAGTCCTTGTCCTAGTGGTCAAGTGTCTTAGACTTGGGCTATGAAAGTCCTTGTCCTAGTGGTCACGTGTCTTAGACTTGGGCTATGAAAGTCCTTGTCCTAGTGATCAAGTGTCTTAGACGTAGGCTATTAAAGTCCTAGTTGTCAAGTGTCTTAGACGTAGGCTATTAAAGTCCTAGTCCTAGTTGTCAAGTGTCTTAGACTTGGGCTATGAAAGTCCTTGTCCTAGGCCTAGTGGTCAAGTGTCTTAGTAGACAGACTATTCCTCACAGACACAAGATGTTCTAAAGATCTAAGCAGAAATTTTTTTTTCTAAAATATACTTAAGTGCATTATAGTGGATTGTTATTAAAAAATTAAAAACATTGCAGACAAGGGGAACAATGGAAAGAATTTAAGAAAGTATTATAACTATTATTTTGATCCTGAACAGTGAAACTATTTGGAAACACTACTGGCCGCTGATAAATTGGAATTTCACAAATCTACAGTTTAGTAACACATATTTGATAATAATAATAAAAAAAAAAGAGATTCAATAATAAATCTAGTGAGTACCTGATTGCCAATAGAAATGCATCGTATACAAATGACGAATGTTAATTTATAAATAGTAATGCCAATTGCATTGGATAGATCCATGATTGTCTTAGTTTCCCACTCTCAATAAACTGTTGTTTTTTTTTTATGTTCACATTTATGGATATCTTGAACATAATATAATCAGCTATAATAATAAACGACGCCTGTAGTATGAAATGTGTCTTCCACAGCACTGTAGCTTTAAGTCTCCATTTCTCATTGTTTATGTTGGGTTCGTAAGAGACATGTACGCATTTCTCCTACACAAATGCCAGTGTTAAGGAGAGCTCCTAGTGGCATTGTCAATGTCAATCAGCAAAGTTCTTTGTGCAGAAATCACTTTATGGAACTTCCTCGATAAGGGTCATAATACATGAAGGATTGCGTAATGCTGCGAGGAAAAAAAAATACTAGAACGAGGTACGTGGAAGCTTGAAATTGAATCGAAAGACAGGACAATAAGATAAGGACGTTACGTCTATGGCGAAGAAGACTAAGGACCTCCCTCGGCAGACAAGATCAATGAAAAAAAATGACAAGAAATAGAGACCAGTTAAAAACTTGAGTGACCGTCATTATTATTGGTATCGTCCTGTCTTTCTGTGCAAGCTTCCACTTACCTTGCTCTAGGATTTACTTTGATAACGCAATACCAGCACTGATTGATTTATGTTTGACTAATCACTACTCACTACTAATAACCGGTGTCCGTCCGTGACTTGAGTTTAAAAAACCGTCTTTCCTTACGGTAATCAAAGTCTGATGGTCGAAACATCGAAGTTTCAACCAAGTTCTTAACTCTTGAGTTGCACCACGGTGGTCAGGACGCCCAAATCATGCGCGGTGATGCAAAATGCCCAGAGCATCCGCCGGCCACATCTGGATGGTTAGTTTTCGTTTTACAAGGAGTGTGAATATGTCTCGGGAATAGGCACCATCACATTTGGAAGAGCAGGGGCGGGGCAGCCAGTAGCACATCCTTGATGGGCGTGTCAAAGAGGAAGTTAGATGGTGCTAGAGGCTGGTCCTTATGTCACGCGTGCGATGACATGTGCCGCGTCAAATGGTGGCGCTCCCGGAACGCTTCGTTGCAGATGTTACACTTGAGCTTCTCCTCCCTCTTCCTCTTCATGGGGTCGAACTCTCGTTTGTGATGGGATCTGGAGAAATACAAGGAACAAAAATGTTAATGAAATTGAAATTCTAACATAAAATTTGCTTTAAAGGACATCCAGGTAGTACGTGCGCACTGAGGGGGGGGGGAAGAAAAAAAGGGGGAGGGGGGTTAATGTTGGAGATTTGGCTTATCCGTGCATAGGACCTTTGGGGGGGGGGGGTGGTCCTCAGCAAAAAGTAGTCTTACGTACAATTTTTGACAAATTCTACAATAATCATCCTGAAATTCGGACAGTCCATAACTAGAACAGTTATATCTCTAATACTGTAAAATGTCACGCAACCATTTCTAGGCACTGTCACAATGTTGCCTTGTGTTTTCACAAATGAACTCACTGGATATCTCTAAAGTAGAATACACTAAGTAGTAGTAGTTTTAAAGTACTTTAATTTAGTCCATCGTATGTTCAAATGACGTATGACATTTTATTCGGTTACGCCAGTGGTTCCTAAACATTTGTAATTCCCGGTGCCCTTGCAAAATTTTGGTTTTCACCAGCGCCCTGTGTCAAAGTCTAACAAGTACACTTCGAAATTGCGAATACATACAAAATAAATAAATAAAGGGTTTGCTGAGAGTAAATAAATCACGTAAATAGGTCACTAAGCGTCATCTCGTGCCTGTAGTTACTCAAGTGGGTTACTGTTAGGATCACGACCTCTATATGGCACACGGGATTTAAAGTGCAAATAAAGTTATACAAGTGTGTAATATTTCGTGGCGCCCCTGTGGGGAGAGCCACTACAATCCAAGGAACCTCCTTTTGATTTTTTTATTTTTTTTTGGCTCAGTAAAATAATCTTTACTGTGATGCTAAAAACTAACTTCAACTTAAAACTAATTAAAATAGACTCTCTCTAAAAGACTATCAGCAGCTAAAGTTCAGCTTTCTCTCCCCCTTTTTGAGCCAGTGGATAAACTCAACAGGCACTACAAAGAGCTATCATGCAAGGGGATTTACGTCTCTACGTCTCATAACGAAGTGGTCAAACAACGACATACAAACAAACCCCCACTCAAGCCAGGTTACTTAAAAAGCATTTTTCCATTTAACCTAAAAGAATAGTGATCAGGAAATGTAAAGTAACAAATTTCGTAAGCCAATTTTTACTACCGGTACGGTTATTTAAGGGTGAATGATGTTTCAAAAGGCGATGTCAACAGAAGCAACACGTATTTCATAAGGCGCGTCTAACATTTAAATAGCCTTACCTCATGTGATAAACAAGGTCAGAGGTCATCCTAAACGTCGCGTTGCACTTGGCGCACCAGTTCTGGGACAAGTTCAGAGCGTTGATTGGAGAAGACAGGAGTGTTGGATTCGTGCTCTGCAGGAGTTTCTCCACCATGGGGTTGGTGCTCTTCAGGAAGCCAAGACTCGAAATGTGTCGGTCGGCGAACAGGGCGTGCTTCGCCAGGCTCTCGCTGTTTCTTATGTTGGCAGCGAACGACTCGGTCAGAGGCCCGACACTCGGGATAGTTGCCCTGCACATCTCCAGCAGCCCCGGGGGGATCTGATCGGGGAACGCAGAGTGCGGTAGGGGAATCCCCCGTCCGGCACCGAGGAGACTTCCGCCGGGGATCCCCAAAGCCGACGGCGTCGGGATCATGGGGAGTCGAGGCATGTAAAGTCCCATGATCGGCGCCCTGGACTGGTCGGAGTGGCCCGGGGAGGTCATGGCTCCTGGCATGGATTTGACGGGTGGTCGAGGCGGTGGTGGCATAGAAGTGCCGCACGGTTCGTTCGTGGACGACGTCGAGGGACCTTGCACTATGGACACGGTTGGATGGGTTTTGTGAAGAGGCAGGCCGTGAGAGCCGGAGGGTGAGACACGCGAGGCCGGATTCGAGACCACCGGGGAGGGGGGTGAGGTTTTCATCGGGGGTGACATGGCCTTAGACATGGGCGTAAAGCTGGTGGATCCCGCGAGAGGTGAACAGCTGAGGTCGGGGGTCACCTTGCGGAAGGCGCTCATGCCGTCGGAATGTGTCTCTAGTCCAATGTCAAGGTCTTCGCGAGATTTGCTCACGTGACTTTTACTGAGCTCTTCAATGGAGTGAGTGATGGCGGAGTCTTTTCTGGGTTTCGGGCCGTCCAGAGATTTTTTCTGAGGCGGGCTGTCGGCCATCGCGACCTCCGCGTGCCGCTTGGCCGAGATCGTGAACATGGCGTTGTTGTTGGTCATGTAGCAGAGCATGTTGCGTGCTTTGTCCTTGCTGTCCTGGTAACTCTCCACGTCTGCCAATTTGTTCCCCCGGGAGAAGATGACACCGGTGAGTTTGGTCACGTGATGGACGGGCACCCGTGACTGGAGCCTGTCGTCAGTGGTGAAAGTGCATTTGAACTTCAGATGGGCCCTGAGAGGGAAAGGGTAGTCAAACATCTCCCCGCAGTGAGTGCAGATGTACTGCTCGTCGTCTGAAAGAATTCATGTTCGAATGTTGTAGGCCTTGGTATAATTGGTTCACGCTACACATGCTTGTTATTAACATTTTATTTTAATATTCCCTGGCGTTCGTTAAATTAAGAGAACACGAATATAGAAACAATGGCAATTTTATTGGATAACCATACAATTCTACACAAATTTTTATGAGAATTAATATAGGAAAATGAGCCATTGGCCTACCGTGTATACTCGCGTATAGGTACCACTCTTATGAATCAATAATTTGGATATAAATCAGGGGTACAACCTATCCACTCCGTATCAGTTTAGCGTACCGGAACCGGTGCTGCTATTCAGTGTGGAGTAGTCATTTATACGAAAATTTCAAGAATCGTTTTCTAACTTTCTTTCGAGTTTAACCATAGGGCGAACTAGGCGGCCGCCTAGGGCGGCAAATTTTTAGGGGCGGCACTATTAATTAAATAATTAGTTGCCGTGGGCGTGATGGGCGCAGTGCGACAGGTTCGCCTAGGGTGCCAAATACTCTGGCGCCGGCCCTGCATAGGCCTATTCATTTAAAAAAAAATGATTGTTAATGATCATCTAGTTTATGACGTACTTTGTGGCGCAGTTTATGACGTAGTTTGTGACCATTGCTTTTCGGCTTTAAATTTTTTATGAATTAATTTTTATTTTTGTGGTTATATTTAAGTTAAATTCACGTTTAAAAGGGGCTCGACCCATCTGCCGGTCAAACGCGAACAGCCGCTTTGATAACCCCAACCTAAGCATTTCACCTATACACGAGCATGTACGGTAACGTACCAGTGCCCCCGGAGCTCTCGCGTGAACGTATTAAGAAACGTAGAGAAGTATTAAGTGAATTCATTAACATCAAGTTAGAAAGCTACAAGAGATAACCAATTTCGTGGACTTACTTTACCTATCCATATTCCCCAATCGGTTATATTAACTTTTTTGCCTACGAATGGTCTGTTACCTCCCTTTTGCTCTTCTCTATGATGCTACATTTCTTCTTCTTCTGTACCTTAAAGGCTCACGATTAATGCATTGACCGTTTTGGCTCCTATTTATGTAGATGGGATTCGCTATGTTTCTGTGCCTGGTATTGAAGAGGATATGTCCCTGGTTGCAAGGGCTACTCAGCGAGGTTATTAGCTACGTGTTTATTTAAAATGTGTATATTTATGTTACTCGCAGTTTTCCTCGCCGAAGAAGGCTTTTAGCCGAACCTTTCGTTGTTTTGTTGCGTCATTTTTTTTCAGGTTTTCCCATACCTTGTTTTATATATTTGCTACTAGAGATAACGAAAGCTTTATCTTCAAACTCATGACAAAGACTATTATTTCAGAAGCTAGCCATTTAGTTCCGTAACTATGCAGTCTTGAGGGCACTGCTCCTAGGCAACCTCTCTCTCCCATCTACGGTGTGAATTAGTCGCACCGTAGAATAACCATACAAACCCTAGTAGAGGGCGTCGGTCTTAAACAACTACGCGGTCCCCCCGGGGTGGTAAGGGGGGACTTTAGAGACGTTAAATATCCACCCCAACCCCTTAGAAAGTCCGGCCCTGTTGCTGCGTGAGCAGCAATCCGGCTGGCCAGGTGTTTCTTCTCTGGGGCTGCCACACTCAGCGGCCAATCGAGTGGAGGTCGAGTGTGGCGGTCTTTTCTTAGGGGCGGAGCGTCCCTGGCGTGCCGCTTCGCGGCCCGATCGGAATAAAGACCACTGGGGGAGTGGTTGACGGCCGGTTTGGTTGGCGGGGTGGTGCGTTGGGGAGGACCATATGAGCCTCAAGGCTCGGTGTCCGCTGATTTTCTTAAGTTAGTTAGTTAGTTCCGTTTCGCTCGTCTGGCTTACCTCGTTTGGAGTTGCTCTGCAGTTCGGGAACCCCCAGGATCTGCGTGAAGTCTTTGCTGTACCAGACCAGCAGTTCCTCCCCTGCTTTGACGATGCGCAGCGTCCTGTAGAAGACTCCACCCTCCTTGGAGTACGCCTCCATGTTTTGCTCTTCCTCGTCGCGCGCCGGTGACACGTAAGGCAACCAGTCCAACTTCCGCAAGCCGGCCCTGCGCTCCTCGGTGTCAACCTGCGAGGTGAACAGAGATCAGCATTTGTATCGAGTTGGCTATCAAGGAGTTAATGTTCAAGTGACCAGAGGCGTGTGTCCGACACGTGGCCTAAATGCCTCTTTACATGTAAAAATAAAATCAATTAAAGTTTGCATTATTATCGCCTGCTTTAATAACCCCCCCCCCCCCCCAACAAAAAAAAAAAAAAAAAAAAAACCAACAACACACTTAACATACTTGAGTAATTATTATTACTTGTTCTTCGTCTTGAAATCAATGATTATTTAACTGTAGGTTACGGTTGGCAGACAATTTTTGAGTCGTTAGACATTTTTAGACATTTTTATAATTTACATTTGCTAGGAACATATTAAGGGTTCAACTAGTCATTATAAAGAAGTGATACAAAAAGATAGTCACTCTAAATCCGTTCAAATGGAGCCACATCTATCACTTCAAAAGAGCCACATCTATCCCTTCAAAAGAGCGACATCTATCCCTTCCAATAGAGCCACATCTATCCCTTAATATAGGGCCACATCTATCCCTTCAAATAGAGCCACATCTATCCCTTCATATATAGCCACATCTACACCTTCAATAGATCAACATCTATACCTTCATATAGAGCCACATGTATCCCTTCATATAGAGCCACATCTATCCCTTTATATAGAACCACATCTTTCCCTTCAAATAGAGCCACATCTATCCCTTAAAATAGAGCCACATCTATACCTTCAACTAGAGCCATACCTAGCCCTTCCAATAGAACCACATCTGTCCCTTCTTATAGAGCCACATATATCCCTTCATATAGAGCCACATCTATCCCTTCAAATAGAGCCACATCAATCCCTTCATATAGAGCCACATCCCTTCAAATAGAGCCACATCAATCCCTTCAAATAGAGCCACATCTCTCCTTTCAAATAGAGCCACATCAATCCCTTCAAATAGAGCCACATCCCTTCAAATAGAGCCACATCAATCCCTTCAAATAGAGCCACATCTCTCCTTTCAAATAGAGCCACATCTATCCCTTCAAAAAGAACAACATCAATCCCTTCATACAGAGCCACACCTATACCTTCAACTAGAGCCACGCCTATCCCTTCAAATAGAGCCACATCTATCCCTTCAAATAGAGCCACACCTATCCCTTCCTATAGAACCACATCTGTACCTTCATATAGAGTCGAATGTCAAGCACTGATCTAGGCCAAAAGACCCCACCCCCTCCAAGAGTGTTTGCCGACGTCTTCCTCGAAAAAAAAGAAAAGATCTGCTGGTTGCCGAAAATGCCCATAAATATAAGGGAAAATATTCCATCGGTTGGGGGGTGGGGGGTGCAGGCCGTACCCACCTTCTCCTTTCCTACGCCACTGGATGAATTAGATTTCTATACAAAGAACTTCGATACACTGCATCATACCACGAGGCTTATATTAATGGAAGTTGTGGCCCTTGGTCTCCACTCTTTCTTTTTTTTTTTTTTTTTAAAGTTGATTTTTTCTGATGGTTTAAGTCTAACTTAACCATTTACTGCTAAATTTATAATTTCAAAAATACGTATGCTCTATACGCGAAATTTTTCGCCATGTTAGTTTATAAATAAAAAAAAAAGAGGCTTTTTTTAATGGAAGTTGTGGCCCTTGGTCTCCACTCTTTCTTTTTTTTTTTTTTTCTAAAGTTGATTTATTCTGATGGTCTAAGTCTAACTTAACCATTTACTGCTAAATTTATAATTTCAAAAATACGTATGCTCTATACGCGAAATTTGTCGCCATGTTAGTTTATAAAATTCTAGATTTCTGGCAAACATTTTGCGCGCGAAGAGAACTCAAAGTCTGTGTGAATTGAAATTAGTTTTATTTAAAAAGACAACACATTAATGCATAAATTATTATTTACAATCAGTGGGGTAGCTATAAAAAGGGCCGCCCAGGGCAGACCAACTCCTCCGCACCCCTTTCTTACGCCTCTGTTGACATAAAAAAATAAACAACATGCCTAGATTTTTAAGTATTAGAGATTGCAGTTTACCCTTAGAACAATCCCTTCCGGTTGTTTGTCGCTGGTCAATATTCCTATGACGTATGCCGGGTCAGTAGCTGTTACGTGGGTAGGAAAAGGTCCAAAGATCTGTCCGTAGTCGATGTCTGTGACGGTGATGACACCCATTTTCCGTCGATGCTCCCTCGACACTGTAAGATAAACAAGGCTGAGATTATGTACACTGTAAGATAAACAATGCTGAGATTATATACACTGTAAGATAAACAATGCTGAGATTATGTACACTGTAAGATAAACAAGGCTGAGATTATGTACACTGTAAGATAAACAATGCTGAGATTATGTACACTGTAAGATAAAGAATGCTGAGATTATGTACACTGTAAGATAAACAAGGCTGAGATTATGTACACTGTAATATAAACAATGCTGAGATTATGTACACTGTAAGATAAACAATGCTGATATTATGTACACTTTAAGATAAACAATGCTGAGATTATGTACACTGTAAGATAAACAATGCTGAGATTATGTACACTGTAAGATAAACAATGCTGAGATTATGTACACTGTAAGATAAACAAGGCTGATATTATGTATACACTGTGTGCCGTCAATCAGATCCACACTGACAAAACAATGGCTTGAAATAGTCTTAGAACTCTTTGTAAGCACATCTACAGATAAGGTTTACTACATTTGTCTGCTTTACGAAAGATGCCAAGAAAACATATAAAGCCTATGCTACATTGAGGGCTCACAAAACAGAATAAGCCTTAAATGTAATTTAAAAAAAAGAAAGACATATTTTCTGTGTCTATCAATGGTACTGAGTACTGAGCAACATTCCTCCTCTCAAAGTACTGTTTGTTGTGTTAGAACTCGAAATAAAAGAGAGTAATTAAAACACACAGGCAGTTCTCGATTTACGTAGGAATTCTGCACCTTCAAGACGTTGGCTTATATGCTTTCGTTTGTTATGCCACCAGCAAAAAACTAGAAGATATTGTACTTAATGGTGAATATGCACGTTTTATTTCAAAAGTACCCTACGAACGTGACATAATGTTGAACAAATACCCTAGACAAAACAAGATGACGTAGCTAATGAATACTTTTAATTGAAAACATAAAATTATACAAATAAACTAATACAATCTTTACATGAATTTGTTCGTCATGGCGAACGTTCGTAAATCGAACCTTGTTAATTCGAGAACTGAACGTATTGATAACCGGGGAAGTATAAAAAATTATTGGAAACATAGATGTAATTTTTTTATACAAATACAAAGGAAGCAGAATTTTAAAATTACAAATACAAAGTATTTTGCAAGTACAAATTTTCTCATTAACAAAAGCTGTTCAACTCGAACCTAAACGCATTTACAGTTTCTTTGACAGAATTTACGCTCTCAAATTGCAGAGAAAAGAAAGTGTGAGAGATGTAAATATAGAAAGGTGGTGAGAGAGAGAGAGAAAGAGAGAGAGGGAGAGAGAGAGAAAGAGAGAGAGAGAGAGAGAGAGAGAGAAAGAAAAAAAGAGAGAATGAGGAGGGATAGGGAGATAGAAAGACAGATGGAGTGAGTAAGGGAGAGAAGTAATGAAAGCGGATTGCAGGGTGAAAAATTGCATTCTCCAAAATTTGTCTCCACATTTCAGGCCGTAAAGTAATAAAAAGCCCAGCCACTTGAGCTCTTAAAGCAATCAGGACGGACACTCTCCAAGCAATTTAGGCTACAGACTGCATTCTGGGGGACCAGGCAGGGCCCCGACCATCGTCTGCTGATTGAGTGAGGCCAACCGATCTCACATACGCTGCCGTCGGACGAAAATATGTTTTGTAGCGTCCTAAGTGATTTCGAGTTGGATCCGATAACGGCCGAGAAAAGGCCTGGGCCTAGGCCCGGGCAATCGAGAACCTGTTTGTTCCATAATGGAGTCAATTGGAAATTCATTAGCCCCACATTCCCGCGGACCGTCTCGCGAGGGCTCTATCCCCCCCTTGGCTCGTGATGGCAGATTTGGCTATTGTCGTAAATTAGCGTGTTGTGAGATCAGGCGCTAATACACTGGCATGCAGGCGGCTTTTTTTTTCATTTTAGGGAGGGGGAGAGACAGATGTTCTATAGGGCTACGGGATTGAAAGCAGGGGGAGGATAAGTGGGGAAGAATAACTTCTGAGTTCCTTAAAAAAAAAAAAAAAAAGGCGACAAAAAAAGAGAAGGGAAAACAATTAAATGGCGGCTTTTTTTTTCATTTTAGGGAGGGGGAGAGACAGATGTTCTATAGGGCTACGGGATTGAAAGCAGGGGGAGGATAAGTGGGGAAGAATAACTTCTGAGTTCCTTAAAAAAAAAAAAAAAATGGCGACAAAGAAAGAGAAGGGAATACAATTAAATATAACGGTTTTGACTGAATCCTATTTTACAATGGAACGCATAGGAATCAGACATTTAACGATTTGAAAGTTACAGAGTGGGGTATTTGACCGAGGGTAATTTTGGGCGGTACAAGGCAATCCCAAATATTAATGAAGCCAGTCAAAGATCAAGTTACCGGTGATACAACTTCAAGAATCAGTATCCTTGCGCCGGGAATGTGAATTTAGCCAAGATTAATTCCACTGGTACAGTGCACGATAACACGACTTTTGACATTCTGATGTCTTCAGTTTAAGGCAGAAAATGCTTTGTCTGATTTTATATGAGAAATAAAGTCAAATTAAATGTGCTAGACGATGTGATGGTGGTAGAAGATGTGGTGATAGGAGTTTTGGTGATAGAAGATGTGGTATAGAAGAAGTGGTGATAGGAGATGTGGTGATAGAAGATGTGGTATAGAAGAAGTGGTGATAGATATGTTGTGATAGAAGATGTGTTAGGAGATGTGGTGATAGGACATGTGGTGATAGACGATGTGGTGATAGAAGATGTTGTGATAGAAGATGTGGTGATAGAAGATGTGGTGATAGAAGATGTGTTGATAGAAAATGTGG